GGCAGTTAGAGACATTGTTTTGTTTTTCTCCTTAGTCTTATATTTCCATTCCAATCTACCCACAGAATTTTATCCTAATGTAATATATTTTTAATCTTGAAAAATATTTTACTCATCACCATGTCATATTGGCCTATAGTAAAAAATATGTATATAAATTAAAATTATTTTTAAAATTTCCATGTGAACATAGGCTCTATGTGTTATACATTTTCTTCTATATTGAGCTGTCATGTCAATTTTTATTAGTACACAATTGGTTAGAACAACATAAATATTTACAACAGTTAATAATGAGCCTATATCAAACTAAATATTATAGGTAATATATCTCTTAATGAAATGGATATATCACAGTGAAATTAATTATTATTAATTTAAAATTGCTAGAATAACTCAGGGTTTAGCATGAATTCTATTATTGTTGTTGTTGTTGTTGTTGTTGTTGTTGTTGTTATTTTTTAGCTATACATGCTGAGAAACTCTGGTAGAGATTATTGGTACTCATAGTTGTTGGTTATCCTCTCCTTCTTGAGCACACTGGGAGACCTGTCAGACTTTCTTGCAGTTAGGTGGGACCATGTGACTAGTATGGCCAGTGATATATTAGTGGAAGTGCCATGTATTGCTCAAGGACCCAGAAACTTAACAGTTCTACTGCTTTTTCCTATCATGAAAAAGCCCCATGTTCCAGAGGCAGGAATATGCAGTCTGGATCTCTGAGTTATTGCTTGGATGTGAACTTCCCTGGAGAATCCATGGAACCATAGCAGGCTTTCTATGACCAGAAAATTAATTTTTGAGTTTTGTTTTGAACCATTTAGAGGGTTTACTTGTTTCCATAGCATCCTATAACTTATCTTGACTAATATAAAAACTTTCTTCGTATAAACTTCATATAAGTAGATAGGAATTAAAGGGGGTTTGTTCATTCATAGGCACTGTTGTTTCATCTGATATACCAAGTAAAGTTAGGAAAAATGATATACTGTTAATATCATTATAGGTTTGTCAGTACTATTTTTCTATTAAAATGTTTTTATCTTAATATGTGATTTAATCATGACACTAGAGTTGCAAATTAGATTATTTAGTTAATGAAAAATATTCATCATAAAACTTAATTGGTGAGGCCAATCTTCATGGTCAAATCCCTGAGCCAAATAAGACAAATACATATTCAGAAAAAATCTGATTCCATTTTTCAATTCAATGAGCATGTTTTTTGTTTTGTTTTGTTTGTGTTTTTGTTTTTTAACATTTATTCATCTTTGAGAGACAGAATATGAGCGGGGGAGGGGCAAAGGAAGGGAGACACAGAATCTGAAGCAGGCTCCAGGCTCTGCACTGTCAGCACAGAGCCTGACGCAGGGCTTGAACTCATGAACCATGAGATCATGACCTGAGCTGAAGTCAGACTCAACTGACTGAGCCACCCAGTCGCCCCTAACTAACTTGGATTTAAATTTAAAAGTAAAAAAAAATATATCTCTACCTTACCTTCACTTAGAAATCTAATACAGAGAAAGCACACATCTTTGTCATAAGCTTTTCATCAGGGTAAAGTAAGATGTCAGGTTCTTATATATATTGACATTCTCTTTGCTTTCACCAGAATTTCTTTCCAGAAATATCTTCTTTGACAATAGTTAGGGGCTGGGTGAGATAAAGTCTTAAACAAAAGTAGTTATCATTCCTGTTGTTCCACTATATAATGCATATTAATTTAGAATATTGCAACATGGAATTTCTCACTCATCACTTCATCCTTCACAGAAAAATGTATGAACACAGGGAAAGACATGAGGCTCTACACTGGTTTTATAATTCCTTTATTAAAAGAAGCTTCATTGACTTTAAGTTTTTTTCCCTTTGTTTGGTGCCATGGAGGATTTTCTCCAAGATAAAGCATCATAGCAAGATTTGGAGTGAAAGCCATGTTTTTATTTTTGTTTTTGTTTTATTATTATTATTATTATTATTATTATTATTATTTAGGTAGTGATAAGCATTTGTGCATTGTTCAAGAGAAGTAGAAAGGAAGAACCAGCATGACACTATGATCTCACAGGTGTTCGCATGCAGGTTAGTTCTAAGAAAGAATATATATGAAGGCTAAAGATTCTGGAAACTGAACTCCTTAAAAATATTCAATGTCCCTGCTCATGCTCTGTCACTCTCTGTCTCCTGCAACCCATTGTTGATATGGATGAGAAGTAAATCTTTGGTGTGTTAAGCCACTGAGGTTTTGGGATTGTTTGCTAGAGCATTTAGCCTCCCCTAATAGAGTAACTGATGGTGCTATATACGTCTCACTACTGTAGATGTGAAGTGGCCTTGTATAACAGTAGTGCTCAGGTAGAGAATTGAATGGGAGTCACAGCCAGTACTCCAGGGACAAGGCGGTGCTGGAGTGAGCCAGGATGTAGCCAAATCTAAGAGAATAGATGGCAGGTTGCACCAACTACAGACTTCATAGCTGATGCCTGCATTGTTCCCAGGAATGGGGCCAGACAACTACCCTCAGTGGACAGAGATAACACACATTTACAATAAGTTATCACTTTCTTCCCCGAGTACTACAATGACACAAATTCTCATATATCCATCACCATTTTGAGGAGGAAAAGGAAACTCCAAAATACTGTTTATCTAAGACCCCATCTAACCCACCCCTGGTAGGAAGTGGAACTTTCAATTGAAGAAGCATTTAAACTCAAAGAAGACTGTTGGAATTGGAAAAGCGTAAGATATGTTTAATTGTAAAATCTAAGATTTCCATTACCCAGAGTCATGGATAACAACTGATTTTTTTGGAGGGGGGCACATTAATTATGTGTGAATGAGTTTGTGACCCTAATGCTTCTTTGCTTTTCATGCCATAGCTATGAAATCTAGTGCAGATTAAAAATAGATGTGGAAAAACTTTTTTTGAGTGCACATATATAAATAAAACATAATATTTCAATACTTTCTATTTCAGTAATGGGAAGGACTGCATGATCTTGTCCATGGGGACAGATTCCCCAGAGATGCAGTTCAATACTAAATAGCAAAGTACAGAGCATTGACAAGGAGTATGGTCTCTTTCTGCAAAACCACTTTATTAATGACATACTTTGTCAAATTGTTACATGTGACTATTCCACTTCAATATAACTCAACTAGAAGGATAATTGATTAGCAGTTTTTACCAATCCCACTGAAAAGAACAGAACTTTAATTTCATTTGACAGATTGTTAAATCGGGCTTTTATACCACCTGGTTAGTTCAAGCCAATTATTCTTATGAGTGATAAATATTCAACCGCCACACAATATAATATCCTTTAAAAAATGAAGTCTTAAAACTTAAAAAAATTATGGAAGTAGATTGTCCTAATGTGTAAGTTACACAGCGGTAACAAAGAGCTGCTTTTGGAAGCTGTATTAATTGTTTCAGGCCACAAGGACTCCATTCTTAGGGTATGCTCGTTAAATTACATTTCTAATGATGATGGTTTTTCACTTAGCAATTCACTCACACTTTCTCCTGGAGCTCCACCTCATGACTAGTAGCTACTAGTTAGTTTCAAGGCAACTGGATGTTATAATTAAAATGCACCTTCAGGGGAGGCCCTGAGATTCCCCCAGTTCCTCTCTATCACAGACCTTACTTAATTTTCATAACCACCTGGAATTTTGTACTTATGCATTTCTTTACTGGCTTGCTCTCACTTTTTTCTCAGAAAATAAGTGACATAAAAACAAGAGTTCGCATTAATTTGCTCACCACAATATGTCTAGTTTCTAGAATGGTACTTGGTTCTTAGTAGGAATGCAATAAACATTGATGTAATCAGTAAACTTTTAAATGTTGATTATGAAGGCACTTTTCCATATCATAAATTCATGTAGGAAAGTCAAATCTGTGATATTTAATTTACAGTGTTATGCTATTAACCATAATTTATCAACTACACTAACTAGTCCAACACAGAGATGGTTCTTAAGAACCATAATTTACTAAATAGAATACCCCAAATAAACTCATTTATATAACAAAGGTATCTAGATTATGATTGGAGACTAATTTATTTAGTACTTCTCAATATATCCTATATTGTGGTTCTAATGGGACTGTAATTCAGATCTTCATTTTTTCCCCTTTAAAATCACATTATGTTTTACATCTTTCAATTGTTAAGAGAGTTATATATTATTTTAACATTTAGTTTTCAATAAAAACCATGAGTTTTAACAATAGTAAGATTTTGATAAATTCCTTTAAGTTTATCTATGTATTTAAACATCAAATGTAGTCATCATTCAGTAATTGAAGATTTTAAGCCACATTATGTGGTTGCTTATGAAAGTGTGCTGCTAACCAAGGTCTTTCCTATTTAAAGACAGGTAATTTTTCTTTTTTAGTTTGAGAACTCAGAATTAATAAAAACAAATAACACTGTAAATATTAGTTTAGAGCCCAGAATGTGTGAGTTTTAAGCTTAGAAATTAGTTTTCTAAATCCTGTGTTAAAATGATTGAGTTAAAAAACCAACAAGAAAACTTCTCAGAAGCCTTTAACTTTTTGTCTTGTATAAGGTCTAGAATTTTGAAATTTGTTTTACTTCCCCTCTCTCTCTTTTAATGGAATGAGTATGGGTAAATGTCTGAATAGATGCCAGATTAGGCTAAAAATTCTTTTAAAGTTTCAGTAAGCCATTCACATTGGTTTGAGAGTCTTGAAGAGGGAGTTATTTTTAATAATTCTTGTTTTCTGAATAGTAGCCATTGTATAACTTCCCCTTTTTGAGAATAGATCACAGTTTGGGGAAATGAGTAATTCAACACACATCTGATTTGGTTACAGTTCAAAACCAGTAATCACTTTAAGAGTGATTAAATAGTGACACAATTTACATTATAGCGGCATCTGGTCTGTAAGGAAAATGAGGGGAGACTCCCCTTATAGTCTTTTCTTATTGTCCTCATGGCTGTGGCATTTTCTGGACTCATTGTTATTGGTCATTCTTCTCAAGATCAGAAATGAGAATGTTTTCTTCCAAATGTACTGTACTAAAGTTGGTTGTAGGATAGTAAGGATTCCCAAACCCTGCAAGTCTCCTGAAGATACCTCTGTTGTGCTTGTATATACAGAAAGAAAGTGCAGAAATTGCCAGAATTACTATCAGTGTCAGTGCTACCGCAAGAGGTACAATGCTGTGACTTGGTCCTGAAAGAAGATGAAAAAAAGGAAGGGTTCAATGACAATGAATTAAGATAGATACTGCCACACAGTTACTTTCTATTTTTTTATTTCTAAGAGACATCAAAAAATGTTCAAACCTACCTTTTCTTGAGTGCTCCTTTATTGTGTGAATATCTAAAAACAAATACAAAAAAAACCCACCTGAGATTAAAATTTTCTTTTAATTCAGCAAAATTATGTTATTATTTGTAGCAGAGTTCAACAAACTATGGCTCATGGATCAGATCTGGTGCCTGTTTTTATAAATAATGTTTTATTGGAACTCAGTCACACTCATCCATTTATGTATTGTCTTTGGCAGCTTTCATGCTACAGTGGCAGTGTGACAGAGACTATATGGCCCCCAAAGTCTAAACTATTTATTGTCTGGCCCTTTACAAGAAAATTTTGCTGACCCCTGATTTATTATAATCATTATTATTGCTCACAAACACATACACTGCTCTTTTTTTTAAGCTGAAAATTTTCCATCTAGTCTCAGCACTATGCTACAATAAAAATATGAATAAAATATAGTCCCTGCCTGCAAGGAACTCAGTTTTGTTAAGCTATGAGATGGAGTTTGTCCAGCAATGATAATCTCTTTACCTCCAGGGAAGGATTCTAAACTCAGCACTTTCTCACCTTTGCAATCTTAAGAATCTTGAAAAATGAATAAAAAATAGCTCTTCCACTCAAAAAGTTGGAGGGTTCCCATTTGACGACTTTCTACAGTAAAAATGTATCTCTTTCAAGTAGACTCTGTCTCCAAGTTTGAACGCTGCTATTTTTCCTCTAGGTAAAGATCCAGAGAAATAGGTAGAGAATGACCCAGAGAAAGATCAGTAAATGATTTGTGAGTGGAGAAAGTGCCTTGGTGCAGTCCTTAGGCCCATTCATTCTTACACACTTAAAACATTAACATTGTCACCAACAGCAAAACCACATTAACAAAACCTGTTTTGCAATTTAAAAATAATACTATATAATTTTTCATCATACTATTTTAAAAACATATATGTGTGTGAAGAAACTTTAGAGTTATTGTTATTTTTTTATTTTTAGCTTTTAATGTTGGTTTATTTTTGAGAGAGAGTGGGCACGAGCAGGGGAGGGGCAGAGAGAGGAAGACACAGAATCCAAAGCAGGCTCCAGGCTCTGAGCTGTCAGCACAGAGCCCAACATGGGACTCTAATTCACTAACGGTGAGATCATGAGCTGAACCAAAATCAGATGCTTAACCAACTGAGCCACCCAGGTGTCCCATGTGAAGATACTTTTTAAAGAGAAGCTGTTAAAAGAATATTTATTCTCAAGATGCATGCAGTAGGCAGACATGGAAGGACCATGTAGAGTCAAAAAACTTGGACTGTGGGCTTCAGTTTGATCAAGTACATTTCTCATCTGTAAAATGGGAATATTGTATCTGCTTCACTGCTTTAAATATTGCTATGAGGGGGGCGCCTGGGTGGCTCAGTTGGTTGAGCGTCCAACTTCGGCTCAGGTCATGATCTCACGGTTCGTGGGTTCGAGCCCCGCATCAGGCTCTGTGCTGACAGCTCAGAGCCTGGAGCCTGCTTCAGATTCTGTGTCTCCCTCTCTCTCTGCCCCTCCCCTACTCACGCTCTGTCTCCCTCTGTCTCAAAAATAAACATTAAAAAAAATTTAAAAAAAAATTGCTATGAGGGACGAAAGAGGTATCCTATATATTACAGGAAGCTTTAAAGTCTTGCATAGACGCAAGGTGTTTCTGATTTGTTTTTGATACTTAAATGCTATTGATCACTTGGGCACACTACTTATTAGGCTCAGTCCTGTTTTCTACACTATTAGGGCTTGAATGTTGGTGCCGACATCTTCCAGTTTTTTCTCCTTCATTCCCACCCAGTCTCTAATCAGATCACCAAATCCTGATGATTTTCCTATTTCTATTCTTCCTCATGTTCCTTGTTCTGTCACTCAAATCACAACTGCCTCCCTTTATATCCAGATGAGTGTGATTCCACTGCAAGTGTCTACAGAGCACATAGGGCTTCCCTGTCAGGTTCACCATGAAGTTCAGCTCTCTAAACTGATACTCTCACAGTATCACAGAGAGATACTCTCTGTGAATGGATCCTACATTACTGTCCAGTTTTATTCTCATCACCACCTAATATGAGCCTTTTGCTCCAATCTGAGCTCATTCTCAATCACTGGCTTTAGTCATGCTGGGACTTTTGTCTAATATGCCTTCCCTCCTCTATTCTCTTCATCTTTTGGGATTCCAAAACCTTATCTCCTCTCTGAAATCTTCAGCAGCAGGTTCCTCCTTCTCTGCAACACTGACATCTAGAAATGTTGTGATTATTATTAAAAACACCTTTCCACTGTTAATGTTCATTGTTAACATCCTGTCTTAGAAATCTCTGTATTATTGGCAACTGACTAGAATTTTCTGGCTTAGATTTCTAAAATTATTATTTCTTTTTATCACCACAAACTATGTAGCTCGCAATGAAGTTAAAATATGACTTTTATAACATATTATGGCTAGCAACAGAGAATCACATCCATTAATCCACAACAAGAATACCTAGGCCTTGATTATATTTCCTGGGACCAAAGATGAACCTTAACATTTCTGAGTAGCAGTTGCCAGAATGGTACTAGCAGTACCAGTAGCAGTTGCTTTTAACATTTCTAGTTCCATTTGTTTGAGGTTAAACTGCTTTTTGCACATTAGTTGAACAAGGAGGATGACACAGGAAAGTCATAGTCTTTATAATGATTTTTTGTTGATATCAGAGAAAGAAGGAGCTGAAATGTCCTCTGACTTGTTTGATGTAGAACAAGATGATAATGTCAGAATCTGAATATTCCCCGAATACTTGCATTTTCAACACTTGAAATGCTAAAGAGGTGGGTCAACATTAGTCAGGGTAGAATCAAAATGAAGAATTATCCTCTGACTTTACCCACCTGCTTCCATTTTGCATATAAATCCTTTTTTTTCTTGACATGGAGATAACTGCCACACTCCTTCAGGGATCCTCAGGGCAATACACAGATGGGGTTTGACATGGTCCGTCTCTGGCTTCCGAATGCCCCAGTTCGACTGGTCTGTGGGAGTTCCATCAAACCACTTTATGGTTTCATCTGTAGAAAAATTGTTGACTTACTATGACTTATATGTATGATTATCAAATATACTAAGACTGGAATGAACCATAAAAAGCAGTTCTTGGGGCATCTGGGTGGCTCAGGTGGTTAAGCATCCAACTCTTGATTTCAGGGGAGGTCATGATCTCACAGTTGTGAGATCGAGCCCTGCATTGGGCTCTGCGCTGGGTGTGGAGCCTGCTTAATATCCTCTCTCTCTCCCCTCCCCCATTTGCTCGTGCACACACTCTCTCTCTCTCTCTCTCTTTCTGAAAAAAGCAGCTCCTAAATTTAATGAGACTGTCTCTTTATCTGATACATTCGACTCAGTAGGTACAGTCATGAAGTCATTATCAAAAGGTAGGTATTAGTAAAGTTGCTTTGTGAACAGCTCTCTATTTATTTTAGATACATTGTTCTAATTTAGTTCATTTAGAATATCATCTTAAAAAATTTTTTTAATGTTTATTTATTTTTGAGAGAGAGAGACAGAGACAGAGACAAAGAGAGAGAGAGAGAGAACAAGCAGGGAAGGGGCAGAGAGAGAAAGGGAGACCAGAATGTGAAGCAGGCTCCAGGCTCTGTGCTGATGCGGGGCCCAAACCCACAAACTGTGAGATCATGACCTGAGCCAAAGTCAGATGCCCAACCAACTGAGCCACCCAGGTGCCCCAAATATCATCTTCTTTTTAACGTAATAGTTTGAATTTTGAAATATTCCCTATAATTGTAATCAAAGACATCATTTGAAGTCCTACCATCTATATCATTGCATAATGACTCTCTTTCTAAAATAATTTTACAATGAATTTCTTTAAGAAGCAAGCCAGTGGGGACTGAGGGGGTGGGGACAGTGGTAGAGTCCTCCAGGTGTAAGCAATAAGAGGAGACGCATTGTCTGAAGAGGATTTAAAACCAACAATAAAAGTACCTAAAAGTCGGTCAGCTTTTTATTACCACAATGGGCTAGAAATTCTAAACAATGTCTGTGATTGAAACACTCCTCCTTGTCAGAGTGAACCCACCCTCCACCTTGGGGCACCACTGTAAGAAGTTCTCCGTACCAATTAAAATATTTTTCTTTATAAGTACTTTCAATAACCACCAATTACATAGAGGAAAGAATACCACGTTCTCATTTGATCACAGACCCTGGTTTTTATGAGAAGCAAATAATTCTAAAAGCACAATTCATCACTGAAATGTTTCTATAACTCTGTTGTGCTTTTATAACATCGAGGAATCTGGGCTATTTTCAAATAAATAGGGTTTTGTTGTCTATGACTAAGTGTGTGAACACAAATTTCTCTCCAAGAACCTTCATGATGTGAGGGTAAGTATAAGATAAACTTGTTTGCTTGTTTTTATGTTTGGTATTCTGGGATTATTTCAAAGGACACAAGGGTATAGAAAAGGGTTAGCAATATTGTCTTTGGAGGAAATGGCTTTCGGATTACTGCTATTTTTTCACCGCAAATATATCTAAGGAGAGCCTTCTGGTTTGTAGGTGTCATTTTCATTAGCCTTGGCCACCATGTATTTATTTATCCTGTCTCCTCTTTACCCAAATCACTTACTGTCACCATCAAAGTGAGCATTCAACCAAACCATCTGGACAGAAGAACCAAAAGCAAAAAGCTCTTCTAGGAGAAATGAATTTTCAGTCTCATCCTTGATTGTTAAAAGATTAGATCCTATAAAAGACACAAACAATAAATAAACAAGTATTTGTGTTTATGGGTAAATTCAATTTTAAAAATGTCTCCTTTACAATAATTTGTAAAACTCAGTCTTTGCAGAGCAAACATTTCTATTGTGAATAAATGATTTTTGATTAAAAATTTAAAAATTATACTACATTTATTAAAAGAGACAAGCATGTACTTAAGAAGCTAAAGGATAGAATATTAATTTTAGAGAATATTAAAAGTTTATAATTCAGGTGGAATTATATAAAAGTTTATAATTCAGTTTATAATTCAAAAGGAACATGTTCTGTGAAAGTGTAGTATCCTGAGATATCATATTAGGTTTTCACATTCTATACTGGACACTGAATTTCATAGATAGTCCATCCCCAAACAAGCAATTCAAAAGTATTTACTTTTTTTTGTTGTTGCTCCTAAAGTCACTAAATAATCAGACAAATGAAGAAAACCACATTGTTTACTGAAACGTCAAGAAGGAATGCATTGAAAGCGTTTTACCATCACAAAAGAATTACCTTCCTTTTTGCAAAATTCATGAGCAGCCTCAAAACTCGTACTGTCTAGGACTGTAGAAAAACTGTAGCAATTACTTTTGAATTTTATCCAGGGAATAGATGTTTCTGAGCACAACTCTGGGTGTCCAAATGGTTTTGTTTCTGTGAACAAAAATCAGTTATGATTTTAGGGTGGTGACTGGGTTCATTTATTGGGATAAACATTGCATTAAATTCTATGACAGACTAAGATAGTGTAATGAGATTTTCATGATAATACTCTGAAAGAGTGGGTTTAATATAAATGATCAGAAAACCAAATCCGGTTTGTAGCATTTCTGGCAGAAATAATCTTTACCTACACATAACAGGGTATATTCATGCATAGCTTCTTAGGCTTAGTTTGGGTGCTGCATGGGTGAGGGTGGCTGTCTTTCATGTTTATAATTGGTATCCTAAAGGTTGGAAAAACTGGGGGATGTGATTCATAGAAATGAATGAAGTTGGCAAAAAGCACTTCCAAATGTACAAAATGTGTTCTATGCAGTGCTAAATATTACAGATTTAGCAAATCCTTACCTGCCAATCAACCTGTGAGAGAAAATAATGCATTTGGTAAAGTAACATAGCATAGCAAAACATAACACATAACTAAGGGAAATATCAGGTAGACTTTGCTTTAGAGGTCACATCCATGATGAGATCCTAGGTGTATGGCTATGGGCATGTTACCTATCATATTCATACTTTGGTTTCTTTATCAATAAAAAGAGAGCCAATAGGACACCTGGGTGGCTCAGTTGGTTAAGTGTCTGACTCTTGATTTCAGCTCAGGTCATGATCTTACAGTTGTGAGATCAAGTTCTGCACTGGGCTCCACTCTTGAGGTAGAGCCTGCTTCAGATTTTCTCTCTCTGCGCACCCCCCTCTTCCCCTCCCCTACTTGTGCTTTCTTTCTCTCTCTCAAAATAAACATTTTTTAAAAAGTTATAAAAGAGAGTTAAACAACATCTTTTTTACATGAGAAGTTTATTTATTTGTTTTTATTTTTCCCTTCTAAGTAATCTCTACACCCAACAAGGGACTCAAACTCATGACCCTGAGATCTAAAGTCACATGCTTTACCAAATGACCTAGTCAGGTGCTGCTGCGTGAGGAGTTTAAATGAGCTAGTGCCTGACACTTCTTAAGCACTCAATAAATGCAGTGCTATTGAAAAGGGAAGAATAATTTTTATGGTGTTTTAGTAGCAGAATTAGCTTTTCCAGTGTATGTGGCTATTATTTACATTATTATCCTGAATTATTTTGATCCGAAGTTACATAGTGTGTATGCTGTTTAACTTATAGTATCCAGAATGTAAGCAAATATGTGCACTTTTACTAAATGAGAGATTTTAAAAGACACCAGCTGGTGTTAAAGAACTCTACGTAGCAATCAAGGGAAGGGGGACTTGGTGTAATGGGATGAACATCACATCAAAGAGCAAGGAAGGTTGGCTTCTCCTCCTGGTCCTATTGGTGGACATCTGTGAGATCTTCAGTAAGCTATTTCATGCTCTGAGTTTGTTTTCTGTTTAAAATAAAGTTCACCTGGCTCAACTGGGAGAGCCAGGTGAGCTTTAAGAGTAATGAGGTATTATTATCATTGTTATCATATAATATAAATATTATTTCTATCATCATTGTCATCATCTCTAGAATTTTATTAGTCTTTGACTTAAACGTGAATTTGCAGTCTGGCCTTCAAGGTCACACATGCTCTTAATGCAGGTTTCTAGCCTGATTTCCCACCTCTCCTTACTGGTACACTGCCATGAAGGCAAATTTCAACACTAGCTTTGCTTTACACCTTTCTTCCTTCCATGTCTTTGTCCAAGCTTTTCTTTTCTTTTCTTTTTTAACATTTACTTATTTTTGACACACACACACACACACACACACACACACACACACACACAGGCACACAGAGTGAGTGCGGGAGGGGCAGAGAGAGAAGGAGACACAGAATCTGAAGATGGCTCCATGCTCTGAGCTGTCAGCACAGAGCCCAACGCGGGGCTCTAACTCACGAACCAGGTGGTCAGGTGGTGACCTGAGCCGAAGTCAGATGCTTAACTGACTAAGCCACCCAGATGCCCTGTCCAAGCTTTTCTGTTCAGACTGCCTCTCCATGTCCAATCATTTTCTCACTACATCCTACCTATTCTTCAAGGCCAGTCACACAGTTATGTCCTTCAAGAAGTCTTTCTACTTGTCCTCAAGTGGATGTGTTATGTTCTTTTTTCTTGCTAACCCCACAACACTTACTACCTCTTTTCCATCATTTGGTAGTTCTGCTTGGTGTAACAGTTATTTGTCTGAACATCACCTACCAGACCAGAGGCTTCTTGAGGGCAGACACTTCTTACCCTTACTCAAAGCTCCTGCTTAGCACAGTGCCTTACACACAGTAGGTGCCAGTACATATTTGTTGAGTTGAATAGAATTAAACCTACCAGTAGGTACGTGACAAATTGCTCCTTGCAGAAATGACTCGCAGGCTGTGCTACTCCAGCGTCCACTGGTGTCGGCAAAAACACAGTCACCCAAGATGGATGACTCATCGTCTTTCCAAAAAGTGAAGGAGGATTTGGTGCCATCTGACCAGTCAAAATTAAGACCATTCTGTGGAGGGAAATGAAGCCATAATTTCTTTGCTAGCACTGCATCACCCAGTGCTATTTGAGCAGCCCTTACTTCACGCACTGATTTGTATTTCCACATCTAGACTTCTATTTCAGGGGGTCTAGGATAGCTTGTGAATGTGGCCTGACAAAAAGAAATAGCTGTCACAACAGTATCTTTTTTAGTTTTGGGTAATCCTTTGTTCCCTACCACCATAATTTCCAAGTAAGCAATCAGAATGAAGTTGGATTAATATCTTGTTCTTTACACCAAAACCAATTTCAGATTGGTCAAAGATTCATACATATGAATTGGAAACATAAAAGTGCTAGAGAAAACTTGGCTAAATATTTTATACTCTTGGTGCGGGGAATATCTTTTCAAGTCTGATACAAAATCCAGAGGCCATAATGCAAAATTGACTACGTGAAGTTAAATCATTCTGTAATGCACAAATATAATAAACAACCATAAGACACCATTCTCTCACCTATCCCAATGACAAGGATTAAAATTTTGACAGTGTCCAGTATTGACAAGGATATGAAAAACTACCTGTTATCATAGTTGTTTGCATGTAAATTAGTGTAAACTTTTGGCAGGCAGTATGGCACTATTTCTTAAAATGTAAAGTGTGCTCAGCAATTTAACTTCTAGGAATTTATCCAACTTACACAGGGTTGTTTGTTGTGTATTACTTGTAATTGTGAAAAACTGGGAAGAACCCAAATTTCTATTCACAGGAGAGTGGTATGGTATATCTTTATGTGGTGCTGCAAAGAATGTGTTAGATTTTTATGTGCTGACATGGAAAGCTGTACAAGGCATATTAAACAAAAAACAAGTTAAAGGACAGCACAAGTAGTATAACCTCATTTGTATTTAAAAAACAATATACATATTTACCCATTATGTAAATATGTGTAGGAAATTTTTAAATGATGCATAAGAAATATTTACAGTGATTATCTCTGGGGTACAGAACCAGAGGTTGAGACAGAATAGAGTTTACTTTTTACTACTGCAAGTGTATAATAGTTTTATTTAAAAAAAAAAGAAAACTAAGAAAAAAATCTTACTCTCCAAAATACATCCCTAGAGGGAGAGAAAACCCACGTGTTAAATTCCAAGGTGGTACTGAATTAATTAATAACCACATTTCTAGACAGGAAGCATGATCCATTTTTCTTGATAATTTCTTAAATGCAGATTGCCCAAATGCAGGTGCTTGAGTTTAAGATGTGTTCCACTGCCCACATGAGGCAGTATCTAGAGATACTCAGAAATTTTCAGAGAACCTTTGAAGGGCATTATTTTCCATAGATTAGGCAAGTGGATGTTTGTTCTAAAAAAGGTGTATACCTTTAATTTGTAGTCATAAGCTATTCGTAAGGTTGGTCATAGTTGTTGTATGAACCAATTACTTAAATGTTACATTTGCTATTATTTCTTGGAATTTTTTTTCTCTGTGTTAATTTCAGTGTCCATACCACTAAGGAAGTTGATGTGAAACTTAGTTATGCAGGGATGTTCCAAGAGATTTAAGATACTTACATCTGCAGTGAACAATCCAATCCAGTGGGGATGTCCTAACCGGTTGAGGATAACAGTGAGGAAGGACTGGTGATACTGATCTGTAATGCTGGCCAATTCTGCTCCATGCATTAGGCAGGTTTTTATTGCTGTATACCAAGTCATATTTGCATTAATTATCTTATAAGTTCTGTTTCCATATTCTAAGGTATTGGGGACTGGATACATATCAGATGTATTTACACTGTGTCCAGAGGTATCTAGAACAAGAACAACAACAACAATCATTTTTAGCATCCGGTTGAGAAAGGGAGAGGCAAAGCTTATCATGGATCCATGTCATAATGATCCATGCTGTGATGAACATCAGTTTTCCTTCCCAGAACTATTTCAAAATGAGGGTAATACCTGAAAGCATAGGTGATGCTAAAGAATGAGAACTTAGGAAGTTTAATGCATGAGTTTCTTAAAAAAAAAAAACAAACATACATAGAGAAGATTTCTAGAAGATTTCCCATTTTTTACTCCCTTTTTCTCCTTTTTTTAAAATTTAAATTTAGTTAACATAGAGCGCAACATTGGTTTCTGGAGTAGAATTCAGTAATTCATCATTTACATACAACACCCAGTGCTCATCATAACAAGGTCCCTCCTTAATACCTTATATAGCTTAATACCTTAATCCATCTAGCCCTTCTCCCACCCACGTCACTCCATCAACCCTCAGTTTGTTCTCTATCATTAAGAGTCTCTTGTGGTTTGTTTCCCTCTCTCCTCTTGTTCCCCTACCCCCACCTTCCATATGTTCATCTGTTCTGTTTCTTAAATTCCACATATGAGTGAATCATACAGTATTTGTCTTTCTTTGATTGACTTATTTCGCTTAGCATAATACATTCTAGCTCCATCCATGTCATTGCAAATGGCAAGATTTCATTCTTTTTTTTTCCTTTTTTTTTTAATATATGAAATTTATTGTCAAATTGGTTTCCATACAACACCCAGTGCTCATCCCAAAAGATACCCTCTTTTAGGATGCCCCAGACAGGTTTTATTCCACTAGTTACACCCGGCCCAACACACATTGCTCTGGCAGAACTTAATACTTACTAAGAGAATATTGACATATATTATGGAGTCATATATTGTGTTGCAAACATAATTTTACAAGTACATATTCTCAAATACCACCCTTTTTTAAATAATTTTTTTAATGTTTATTTATTTTTGAGAAACAGACAGAGCATGAGCAGGTGAGGGGCAGAGAGAGAGGGAGACACAGAATATGAAGCAGGCTCCAGACTTTGAGCTGTGAGCACAGAACCCAGTAAGGGGCTTGAACCCACCAACTGTGAGATCATGACCTTAGCCAAAGTCAGTCACTTAACCAACTGAGCCACCCAGGCACCCCCCCTTTTTAAATCAAATACCACCCTTTATTAAACTTGAGATTATATGATAGTTGCTATCATGTTTAATGTTTACATGTATAAATTCTAAATAGAAACTTAAAAACTACATTAATAAACAGAATACACACATTCTATAAATAGTTTCTATTAATATGTCATCTGTCAGAGTCAAGATTTACAAATTAAAAGGCAAGGTTTTCCCAGACATGATGACTGGTGCCTTCTTCTTGTTCATGAGCGACAGGTCATGTGACAGCCAACCCCTTGTTTTACATCCAGGATATTTCCTCTTTAAAATGTGCACTTGCCTTTTTGTTCTGTACTATATCGTGTACTATGATAGGCTAAATTTAGCAAACCTAAAATAGAAAAACAAGGTAAGAATTTCTGAACTGTCTTATCCAAAGTGGCTGGGATATTTTTCTATTTACTGGTTTTATTACAATTGGGGTTGAAAAGGAACATGGTGAGGTGTGAATAGGTCAGAAGACTTGTGAATCAACCCCAGTCCTGACTATGCATGGCTAAGTGACCTTGGAAAAACAAGTAATCTCTCCAAGGCTCAAATTTCTGGTCTTTAAGAGATAAGTAAAGCTTTCCTTGGAGGGGTGTGGGTAGAATTCAGAGATAACACACAGAGCACTTACTGGAACACAGTACTTGGAATGTAGTACCCAGAACAAAGCAGGTGCTCAATAAATGTTGGTTCTTTATGCCAAGTAAAAATGGCAAAGTGGGAATTTGACTCTTACCTGAAAATGTTACTTCAATATAATAATAGCACATATTGTAAAACAAAAGTGAAATTAACCTTTACCAAGTAAATTATGATGGACTACACTTTTATATTTGTTTATTCTTTACTAGAGGTCTGTTGGCCACTTGCCAGTCTATATACCAAGTCTAATGTTATTTTTTTTTAAAAAAACAATATAATACCATAGTAGATATTTAAAAATGATAACTAGTAAAATTAAGGCAACTAAATATTTTCATATATGTGACCTAAATACAATTTTACTATTTACCCCCATTATATTACATATCTGTATTTTTACACACATAAAATTCTTCATATGTAATTGATTCCATCAAACTTCAGAACATACGTGATTTTGAGCAACATGATTTTGCCACTCATTGACCTGAAAAAGAAGGATCTGTTGGAAACCAAGCCCCATATTGGGGGTCTTGATTTTGTTCCTGTCTCCCTTTTATTTAGGTATCTTTATTCTTTCAGGCAGTTAAGAGAGTTTGCGCTCTAAGCCCAATGTAAGCAGCTGTTTATATGGCAAATAAAGAAGTGGAGCAGAATTTGGTCATTTATTGTAGGCTAAGAGAATTTGTGTAGTTGAATAATATTTTTTGGAAATAATAATATAAACAGCTGTCATTTGTTAATATGCTGGCAACTTGCTAAGCATTATATATGCATAGACTCTGTATGTGCATAGAGTGAGATAGTTATTATCCCATTTTACAGATGTGAAGTCCCATCTGTAAAAAGATAAGAAACTTCATTGACACTTAATTACAGAGATGGGGAAAGAACCCAGGTGGGGTATGAATTCCAGTGCCTATGCTCCCAACCACCCCTACTTTAGACTATGTCCAAAAGACCATATACAATGTTAGCCCAAAAAATTTCAAAGAGAGAAAGTGGTAAGAGAGCAGTCCATTTTAAGAAGAGATCAACATCAGTGTCACAGAATAGAATCATTGTATTTAACTGAGTGACCTTGAATATGTAATTTATTTTTTCTAAGCCTCAAGTTTCTCATCTGTAAAATAACACTTTTTACCTACTTCCTAGCATTGTTGGGAGGTTTTTATGCCTTATTGCTTATGAAGCCAAGGCACAGGGCCAGGTATATCATAAGTATGCAAATACATGGTGTATTGATATTATTTCTTTCCCTACAAGACTCTTCTCTTCTCATAATACTCTTGCTATAATTGATTATCTTCTTTCAATTCCTGAATATTATTATTTTTAAGTGATAACTGTGAATTGGGAAATAGCTTCCCTGGGCTATTCTGAGGATGGATAGATACTCAGTGCATTAAAGTGTTCACATACATGCAACACTAAGAGGTATAAATCATATTCCAAGTAAGTATATAAACAATAGGCTGCCCAGAGTTGCACCCAGCTCCAAACACAAACTGTGGTCTTCTAGAGTAGCATCATACAGGGAAACCTTGCACCTGGTGAAAGCACAAGTTGGAGCTATTGTTTTTTGTTGTTGCTATTTTTATTTTTATTAGTCAAGGTCACTTACAGTGCATTTGACCTGATCATCAACCCCACTGACTACGTGTAATAGTATGGCTTTTGTATTTCACACCAAAAGTTACTGGGGGTTCTGATCATTAGCTCTAGAGACATGCTACATGTCATATTTAGTCTCAGAGGGCATTTTTAGGTTTCCGAGAAAGTAGGAAATATTAGTTTGTTTATTTCTTTATTTAACAACATTTTCTTAAAGCCTTTTTTATTCCCTGAACACACACATAAACTCAGAAGAAAGCAGTAAAGCCACTTAATAGGGCTAAAATGGATGCATAAACTTGGTCATCTCTCAGATGGTCTCTGTAGTCTTTAGAATCCCACTAAAGGCCATAATCCTGGGGTAGTAGAGATTAATGAGCAAATATATATAAAGCTCAAAAAGTAAGTGCCTGACACTGTTAGCTATGAAAATGACAGTTATACAGTGTGTAAAACAAATATGGAAGAGAAGAGTGGGTCATAGAGATGAAAGGAATAAAAAAGCAAATATTTCTTACCCTGCATTTTTTCACAAACAAACCCATGACCTTCTTTTCCACAGTCTTCAAAATACCATTTTCCAGTGAAATGAAAATTAGGATTACTCGACAGCAAGGCACAGAGAGGAATGTGTTTTTGAACTTCAGTGATGTTATGACTTGGAATCTTTAAAAAGATACATATGTTTTCCAAAAAAAAATGGAAACATATAACATTATTATAACACTGAAATTTTTATTAAGGACAATTTAAAAATTCAAGCACTATTATCCCTTTATTTGCATTTAATAAACCTGTTCACAGATCACTTCATAACCTGACAAGTAAATAATTATTGTGATAAGTAATATCATTTATAGAACACATGAAAATGACATAATTACATTATTAAAAATTAATATAATAACAGACTAATAAAATTTATGCCTATAAAGTATAGGAAGTAAAAGAACACTTTACTAAGTATTAAATAGGATCTCTTGCTAAAATTTTTTCTAAAAATTAAATCTGAAAACTTACATTTATATCAAATGGAGACCAGTTAGAATATGCCACAGACTTTCCATTTAGCCATTTTTCATAATTACCATTTTGTAACCCTATCCACACATTAGTGGTCTGGCCAAAAAGATTCATAGTAATGAAAGCTAAAAAATAGAAATACATTATCAAATTTAATACCATATAAACCATTTGGGTAATCATCGAATTCTGTTTGTAGCTATGATTTTATTTAAATGACAGCAAAACTTAATTATGAATCAATTATAGGAATTTGTTCTTACTAAGGTAATGCAGTCTCTTTCACTTTTGTTTCAGTTTAATTGATAGACATTAGCTAGCTAAGCCTGGGATTTCATCATATCATTAACAAAACTATTTCCAGTGTTCATTCAATGCCTTTCTAAACAAAAGAAGATTTATCAACTCTACTTAAACTGAAGTATACAATTGCCTAAATATCAAATAAAGGTGTACAGGTAAATCTAAAGGGATCTAAAAATTATACCATGCAGTTATTATAGAGTGTACCTCAGATTATTTCAGCCATTTTGCAATAAAGATCATAAATCTGCCCTATTTTTTCCACTATTACTGGGGAGACAAAAGTCTTCAAAAATCAGCAGTTTATAAGCAATGCAATGTACTAACTTTTACAGATGTCATGATATAAACCTTATAGGTCAAACTGAAAATGTATGTGTCATCAGCTATATAATACATATGATGTTGATTTGGAAATGTTAGCATTTTGGGGGGACATTTTTTTTTTATTTTTAATTTTTTTTTTAAATTTTTTTTCAACGTTTATTTATTTTTGAGACAGAGAGAGACAGAGCATGAATGGGGGAGGGTCAGAGAGAGGGGGAGACACAGAATCCGAAACAGGCTCCAGGCTCCGAGCTGTCAGCACAGAGCCCGACGTGGGGCTCGAACTCATGGACTGCGAGATCATGACCTGAGCCGAAGTCAGCCGCTTAACCGACTGAGCCACCCAGGCGCCCCTGGGGGGACATTTTTAAAGTTTATTTATTTATTTTGAGAGAGAAAAGGCCAGTGGGGGAGGGGTAGAGAGACAGGGGGAGAGAGAATCCCAAGCACTGTTAGCACAGAGCCAGATCCAGGGCTCTATCTTACAAACTGTGAGATCATGACCTGAGCTGAAATCAAGAGTTGGATGCTTAACCAACTGAGCCTCAGGTGCCCCCATTTTAATAGATATTGAAATAAAAATGGTTATTTTTGCCCGACTGAATATTGAATACTCTACCTTGCTCCACCTCATTTTCAATGGCGACCAGTGTGCCCCCTTCTTCAACACAGAAATCTTGAGCTGATGTCCAGTTCTTCCAATCCCTTGGGTCTTTGGGGATTTTCACCAAAAGGCACTTTAAAAAAATGTCCAAAAAAGCATTCATTTCCATATTTTTCTTAATGAGTTAAAAACCTTCCAAAGACACTGAGGATCAGTCTTTAGAATTCTTTATAATTTTCTTGAGCAGAAATGACTCATTTTTTTTTTCTTTGAGCTGCTCCAAAGATAGGAGAGTAAAACAGAAGACCAGCTTTTAGGGTAAGTCAATATCTTGCATGCATTTGTATCAGGCAGGAACAGAAACAAGGATGTGTTTTGTTCTGTAAGGTATCAGAACGATGTCTTTTGCTCAATGAAAAACAGTATTCCTTTTAAAAAGGAGCCAGCCTGTAGTGTGGTTTTAATTTTTAAAAATCCTGTAGGTAGCAATTAATAGCTTAGTTCAATTTTATTTACAAATACATTTCCTCACTTTAAGTGAGAGGGGAATACTGGGAAATCAAACCACAACAGGGACTTAAATTCACTAATTACTTGAGTTAGCTATGTGGTTTGTAAGTCCACGAGGAAGAGCCAGAAAAGAAAAAAATGAGCCCAGTTGGGAAAGAAGCAAGGGCAGGACCAAAGAAACCTAGGGAGGAGAAATAGGTGGGACGGTGGCCAGCACTGTCAATGGGACACAAAAAGAAGGCTATGGGATTTTGCAGTGAGGGCTGATTTTTACTCATGAGAGAATCATGTCTGTGGCATGGCAGGGCTACTCATTATGGAGCGAGAAATGGAACAATAACCACTGCACAGGTCAGGTAGTGTTGAAGACACCACCCATCCGCAACCAAAGCTCGGTGAAATTTAAACATGTTAATAGGGCCAGGTGGAGTCGGGGGAGAGAGAGATAGAAAAGAAAGGCTATAGTGGATCAGGCAATGTTGCAGAGACGTCAGGAGAAACTGTATGCAAAGAATATTCTGTGTTGAATATTCTCTTGTCAATGAACATAGGCAACCCTGGTCATTGATAGGTTAGATCTCAAGATTTCACCACCCAGAAAATCCCAGTTACAAGATCATTCTAGGCAAGTGTGGAAGCCTGCACTTGAGAGAGCATCCTTCCTCATCCCCTTTTGGAATGACATCCTTCCTCATCTTTAATTTCTATATTTGTCAGTCCCCCATCCTTTCCCATCATCATAAACTCATTAAAAAGCAGAGACTAAATGTTGCTTTTTTTTGAACATCACAACAAAGAAGGTCCCCAATAAATATTTATGGAACATTATAAAAGCCAATAGACCCCAAAATAGTTGTCAAACAACATTCTCAGGCATTCTAGATTTAGTCCAATGGTTCTCAAAGGGCAGCATTCAATAATCTCTGGAGACATTTTTGATTGTCACAGCTTGATGTGGGAGCTTTGCTATTGGAATCTGGTGGGTAGGGTATAAGGATGCTATTAAGCATTCTATAACGCACAGGTCAGCCCCTCATAACAAAGAATTATTCAGCCCCAAATGTCAATAGTGCCCAGGTAATTCCTTTCAGAACTTGATCCTAATCGTGTCACTCTTTAGTTTAAAACTATTAGGGATTTTCCAAAAAAATCAAAATCTAAAAACTATAAGGGATTTTCCACTGTTCTTAGGATAAAAACCAGAAATCCTGATGTAGCCTGAAGTTGAATTACCAAATAAGAGAGGAAATACATTTTCAATTCTTCTGGTCCTCGTCACCTTGTTTGCTTCACAAAGAAATGGAATTGGCTTTAAAGGATTTTAATTTTATAGCAACTATTCTTTTATCTATTTCCTTTCATTTTGTCTCTTCTCTCTAATTACAAATTCCAAACAGTGGCACACACTAATTATTAGGCAGTCTTATCATTTAATGTGAATTCACCTTGCGTTCAGATAGTCACACTAATGAACCATTCATAAATACCAATGAACCTCATTGGTTTAGTTAGCTCAATAAATCTTTCTAGAAAACACACACACACATGCCCCCTGTCCCATCCCCCAACTCATCCAACCCCCCACATTTGCCTCAGCCAAGATTTACTAGCTGGAGTATGAGAGTGTAGCCTCCTATTACCACACTTCATTGTTTCCAAAAAAATTACTACCACACTTTGAAATGGTTGTCATTAGTAATTAAAGCAAAGCAGCAATAAGACGTACAGCACTTTTAAATTGTTTATTTACTTACTAATTTGCAAAATATGATCAAGGTTAAGGCATCTCTTATTATTACTGTGAATGAAGGATACCCTACTGTAATCCAAATGAGTTTTGAATACAAAATTCTTACCTTAAAATCATTTCCAGTTCAAAACTTGAAAATGGAATTTATGATCTTTCCCCCAAACTTGGTCCTTTTCCAGTATTCTTACTGACATTGAATGGCAAAGTCGGTCATACATTTATATAAGCCCGAAACCTGGGAGTCTCCTCACCTTCCCACCCCAGCCCCTCTTCAATCTACCATTTGGACATCCCATTTCTCAATGTCCTTCCCCCATTCCTACTGCCTCACAGTCTCTGCCTTCACTATCTTACCTTGGATTATTACAATAGCTTCCCAACCACTCTTAGAACCTTCATCATCCTTGCCTCTCTCCAGTCTGTCTTTGCCATTGCAGCATAAATGATTCTTTTTCAAAACTCATTCCTGATCATGTCCTTCTTTAGGTAAAACCCTTGAGGCATTTTTCATTGTTCTTAGGATAAAAACCAGAAACTCTTTTTTATTTCACTTTTCACATTCTAGTTCTTTATGCTTCCTTTAGTTTCTTCAATAGATTACACCCCCTCTCACCACAGGACCTTAGCACATGCTATACTCCCCTGCTTTTAATGTTTCCTGTCCTTCTGACTACGTCAGTCATGTTCTCCTGTTATGTACTTTAATAGAACTATGTAAGTCTTCTTCATCATATGTGTCACAGTTATAAATTAGAGGTCTTTTCCTGAGTGATTTACTAATGTTTGTTTCCTCTCTAGTCTGTAAGCTCCAAAAGAGAAGGGATTTTGTTTGTTTTCCCTCACCATAAAATTACCAACATCCAATATAGCTAAGTGAATGAATGAATAAAGTGCTAATAATATTAATAATTAAGAGAGTGTTTTTTTAAAGGAAAAGCTATGTTGTGCATGAAATCAAATTTTGGCTAATTCCAAAGTAGATGGTGCAAAGCAGGCATTAGTACTCGACCCAGATCCCTGGATAAAGATGTGTGAGTGGAAGGATAAGAATTAATCTAATATAAACACAAGCACATGCACACTTAGCATTTTTCCTGCCTATAGCTCTGCTGTGACAAGTATCTTCGATGACTCACTCTTCTGGAAGTAATCCCAGGTCAGGACTCATATATCATCAAACACAGAGAAAATAATTTATAAAACATTAGAAAAGATGCTTAACTTCTGGTATCTCAGTTTTTTTTTTTTAAATTTTTTTTTCAGCGTTTTTATTTATTTTTGGGACAGAGAGAGACAGCATGAACGGGGGAGGGGCAGAGAGAGAGGGAGGCACAGAATCGGGGAAACAGGCTCCAGGCTCTGAGCCATCAGCCCAGAGCCTGACACGGGGCTCAAACTCACGGACCGTGAGATCGTGACCTGGCTGAAGTCGGACGCTTAACCGACTGCGCCACCCAGGCGCCCCGTCAGTTTTAAAACTCTTAAAGGTGACTTCCTCTTCCTGTAAGCTGCCTGAGGTGATCTTTGAAAATGGTTGACTATTCACTTGACCCAAACAATCTGACAAAATCATGCAAATCAAGAGGCTCAAATATTCATGTTCACTTTAAGAACACACATGAAACTGCCCAGCCCATCAAGGGTATGCATATCTGAAAAGCCACCAAGTATCTGAAAAGTATTTGCAGAAGCAATGTGTTCAATTCTGATGCTACAGTTGTGGAGTTGGTAGGTGTGCCCAGGCCAAACAGTGGGGCTGGACACAGGGCCAGTGGCCCAAAAAAGAATTTTTGCTGCACATGCTTAAAAATGCAGAGAGGAATGCTGAACTTAAGGGTTTAGATGTAGATTCTCTTGTCATTGAGCACATCCAGGCGAACAAAGCCCCCAAGATGTGGCATAGAACTTACAGGGCTCATGGATGAACCCGTACATGAGCTCTCCCTGCCACACTGAGATGATCCTTATTGAAAAAGAGCAGATTGTTTGTTTCTAAACCAGAAGAGGAGGTTGCACAAAAGAAAAAGATATCCCAGAAGAAAGTGAAGACACAAAAACTAATGGGCTGGGAGTTAATTCTGCATAAAATAAATGCAAATAAAAGTAAAACAAACAAACAAACAAGCCTCTTATAGGTGGATAGTCAACCAACTAGATTTTTTTTCTTAGAGATAACCAATAAAAATGAGCCATAGAAAATTGACAAACAAGAAGCAAAATTTAATGAGATATAACATATCGATGCTCATTCAGAACTGTGAAGTGAGTAATGTCTGTCATTGCTATCTCCCAGTTTTCCTTCTGTAACTTTGTTAATCAGGGAAGCCATCCCCACAGGGCTCTCCTCCTCTCCATTATCAATCCTCCTATTGCCAGCTTTTCTAATGATCTGATAAGCCCACTTATTCCAAGGCATACATGACAAATGAGGCAATCTCAGAAATAAAGAAAATTAAAAAATAAAGAGTCAAGGCAAAGGAGTGAGACTCCAGTGATTTTAGACATTACTATGCAAAGGAAGGTGTGATGGGTGGGGACACTTGAGCACCCTGTAACATTACTCTGTAAAAGATCCTTTCTTAGGAAGCCTGCTGTGACAGTATCTTTATTAGTCAATTCCTCTGAATGATTCAAAGACTAAGTCATGCAGCTCTCCTATTGCTGGGCAAATATTGGCTGTGCATTAGAATAACCAAGGGAACTTTTAAAAAACACTGATGCTTAGATCCAATGCAGATCAATTAAATCAGAATCTTTAGGATGTCACCTGCACCTTGACATTTTTAAAAAGCTAACATGGCAATTCTAAATATTTGATCAGGGCTGTGAACCACTAATCTAACTGTTAGTTATCAATAAAGTTTTGTTTTTTTTTTTTTTAACTTTGAGCTACACAGGGATGTTTTAATCCTGCTCCAATCCTGCTTCAGAAAGCCTTTCTCCTCTCATGTATGTGTTTGTGCTTTACTCACTCCCCTCTATTCCTTTCAAAGGAAGTATTCACTTACTCTGTTGCCCTGGGTCTGTTCCCCGGTTACTGCTACCATGCCTCTGTACATATATACTCAATATGTTTACACAGGAGAAAACATCGACTAGAGTTAAGCTGTGCAGATAAAGAAGTTTGGGGGGAGGATAATAGCCAAGGGCTGAACCAAAAACAAATATTGAGAGTTTCTAAGAATTATTTCTCTAGTGCCAAGGATCTGATTTGCTGTTAATTTCCTTAAAATACCCTCCTTTGTACATGGGAGAAGTTATGATTAGTAACTGGAACAGTTGTCCGCATGCTTTGGGGTTGCTCACTGTCTGCATCGAAAATGTGACTTTGAGACAAGATATGCATTCCTTTGTGTCTGTCCCATATAGAGCACTCCAGGATGCATCTGTTTTAATAGTTGCAAGGTAGAAAAATTAACTAAAAATGGACCAAAACCTTAAGAGCTAAAACCATAAAGTTCTAGGAAGAAACATAAGAGGTAAATTTTAATGACCTTGGGTTTGGCAAACTATTTTTAGCTATGACACCAAAAACATGAGTAAAAAGAGAAATTAGATAAATTGGACTTCATTAAAATTAAAACTGTTGTGCATCAAAAGACATTAGAAAAGGCAACCTACAGAATGGGAGAAAATACTTGCAAAACATGTATCTGATAGGGGCTTAATTTCTAGAATATATAAAGAACTCCTACAACTCAACAATAAAAAGACAACCCAAATGAAAACAAAGGACTTGAATAGACATGTTTTCCAAAGGCAATATACAAATGGTCAATAAGCACATGAAAAGACACTCAACATCCTTAGCCATTAGGCAAATGTAAATCAAACCATAATGAGATTAACTCTAGACATGCACTAGGATGCATGCAAAAAGATAGCTAATAACAAGTGTTGTTAAGGATGTGGAGAAATTGCTAGCATACGTTGCTAGCAGGCTTGTAAAATGGTTCAGCCATGTATGTGAAAAACATTTTGCTGGTTCTTCAAAAAGTTAAACACAGAATTAGTACATGATGTAGCAATTCCATTCCTAGGTGTATATCCAAAAGAAGTGAAAACAGGGACTCCAGCAGATACCTGTATGCCAATGGTCATTGAAAATTTATTAACAATAACCAAAACGTGGAAACAACCCAAGTCCATCAACAGATGAATGGCAAAACAAAATGTGGTGTGGAATATTAGTTAGTCATAAAGAGGGATGAAGTTCTGATACACATTATAATATGGATAAACAGTGAAAACATTATTCAAAGAGAAATAAGCCAGAAAAAAAAGGACAAATATTGTATAAATTCACTTACATGAAATATCTAGACAGGCAAATTCATAGAGATAGGAAACAGATTAGAACTTACCATGGCTGGAGGAATGGGGAATTGGGAGTTATTGCTTAATAGTTACAGGGTTTCTGTTTGGGATGATGATAAATTTTAGAAATAAAGGGGATGGTTGAATAACATTGTGAATGTAATTATTGCCACTGAATTGTACATTTAAAATGGTAAAAATGGCATATTTTATTTTAAATATATTTTACCACGATAGAATAGCTATAAAAAGAACTAATTGTCAAAGGTTTTAATTAAAGACTTAGTTATACTCAGTGTTCTATTGAATACTTGCTACGTTTCTTATATTGAAATGTATAAATTACTTGTAACTGGTAGATTTTATAGTTTGGGAAAATAGGAATCAGGCAGAAAGTATTGACTATTAAAAATGTACCTCAATACCATATAAAGTTTTAGAAAACCACTATATTTTAGAAGATATCTCAGTGCCACCAGATTGACTGTATCATGGGGCTAAACTGATCTAGTAATTTAAGAATTCTTATATGAAGTGGCAACTGTAGGAAAGAGACAAGACTACTTGACTGGAGTCAGAAACCCTGAGGTTGATTCTCAACCTGACGCTTATTTGCTGTGAACTTCCAGAAAAAGCACACAATGTTACCAGTCTTGGTCTTCTTGTGTATAGGATGGGATAATAATTCTGTGTATTTAAAGAATTGAACAAAATAAGAAATATCTTTTAAATCAGCCAGCAAAAACTCTTTGCCACAAGGTGGAAGAAACCCAAATGTCATCAGTGGGTGAGTGGAAAAACAAAATGTGGTACATACATAAAATGGAATATTATTGTCTCAAAAAGGAAGGAAATTCTGACACATGCTCTAACATGGATGAACTTGGAGGACGTTCTGCTTAGTGAAATAACCCACTCACAAAAGATCAAATAACGTACAACTCTACTTATCCTCAGTGTCTGAAGTAGTCAAATTAATAGAAACAGAAAGCAGAATTATGGTTGCCAGGGGCTGGGAGAGGGGAAATGAGGGGTTGTTGTTTATTGGATTTAGGGTTTCAGTTTTACAAGATGAAAAAGGTCAGCAGATTCATTGCACAACAATGTGAATATACTTAACACTACCTCACTAAACACTTAAAAATGGTTAAGATGGTAAATTCTATATTATGTGAATTTTACCACAATTAAAAAAATCAGTGCCAAATATGTAGTAAGTGTTCAACAAATACGTGTAAAATCCCAGTGGCCCCATATCACAAATTAACAGTGAACGGAAGATCACAAAGGAGAGAAGGCTCTGCCAATATAACTGAATATACAGATTGAAAACTGGCTGTCAACAAAGAGCAATTTCATATTAACATATAAAATTATGACACAGTTTGGGTTTTTCCATTATCAAAGAATTAAACTTTTATATTTTGGGATGCATTTTAATTACTTCCACACCTAAGGCCTATAAAGTTATTTTATTATAAAACATAATAGAGTGGAGAAAAATTCTTGGCCTTAATTGGAGGCATTATCAGAAATAATAAATCTGGTTTACAATATCCCCACTGGCAATTTTTTTTTTTTTTTAAATTTCAATTCTGCACGGAAGCACCAGCTTTATGAGGCTCAAGATGACATTATTAGTGGGTCAATTCACACAGCGGGCAGAGCTCTATGCCAGCTCCAGGCAGGGAAGACACAAAAGAAAGGGAAGATGGAGTCTGTGCCCTCTGGAGTTGACAGCTCATTTGGGGGCAGGGCCCAGGTACACACATTCATATGCATCACGCCTAATGAAACAGTTATACAACACAATGAAGGATTGTGAGCAAAAACAGTATACAAATGAAGGGTGGTGTCAAGGCTGTTTCTTTATTCCAAGAGATTGCCCCTACCTTGAAAACCTCAAATCTCTTGAAAGCTGTGACAAAAAAATTCCAGGTCCAGTGGACAACTCCTGGTTTTTCAAAGCCATACCTACTTTTAAAATTACGTTCTAAAATGTCTACAAGAGAGAAACACAGGCAACTTTTTGAAAATGAGTTTACCTTATAGTTAATATATAGCCATCCTTTGGGACATGTTCCATGTTGTTTTGGGATATCTTTCTCTTTCTCTATGATCCAAACCTTCTTTCGCTTACAGATGCTAGGCATAGAAACTGAACACTCTTCACTAGCCCAGAGTCCTGGAGGAGTAAATGAGTTAGAGATGACCTGAAATAATGGTGACTCTTTGTAAGCATTCTTTGTGTATCACATTTTTATGACTGCTAATGGTTTATCATAATTTTTTAAATCTAGAAATTGGACTAAACTGCTAACAGAGTTCTCTCATGGCAAGAGCAAACTGGTCAGGGTGCTAAATCAGTAATTCTAATTTGAGAATGTAGGAATTTCGCAAATGCCAAAAAAAAGAAAAAATGCCCCAACTAACTGAAATATTACAGTTGAAATCACAGAACTGATTAAAGTGCTAAGAATATTTAACTTGGTTAACAGAAGAATGTAAAGTAATATTTTTGTTTTAAAATATTCAATTTCAATATAAAGAGAAACAAGATTCTAAAACAATAGATGATCATTTCTAATTTCTAATTCTTTAGAAAATACACAATGTAGAAAAATTAACTCTGTAACTTCTAAGAAAGAAGCACTTTTCAACACGCACCCTTAAACAAAACAGGCACACATAGACATGCCTTCAGGAAGATACATCCCAAAGTCCTTAGCCTCCTGTAAAATGTATTTTAATTTAGAAGAGCTATATTTTCAGAGTAAAGGTTATAGAATGCATTTCATTAGCATTCAAGTTATAAATCCCAGAATAGGGCAGGGATGCATGTAAATTGCAAAGGCAGGTTTCAGTTTTCTAGTGAGGGATATGAACCAAAAAAAAAAAAAAAAAAGGCATTTTGAAGGAGGGGCTGGCATGCTATTTTCAATGCAGAGTAGCTGCTAGTCTTCCAGAATCACAAAACAGCCTTTCTGTAGGCTGTTGTGACACCTGCTGGCAAAAGAGAGCTGATTAACAACGTGGTTTTTCCTTTCCTTTCTCTGCAGACACCCTTCCACCAAGGATTGCTTTCCGTGCTTATCCCTCTCCTGCCTTGATGCACAGGTTCACTATGAATCTGTTAAGAGTCAGGAACATAATTACCTTTTATAGGATAGAAAGAGTGGGGTGACTATGAGTGGACAATGAACCCAAATAACATTGTACTGATAAATTAAAAAAAAACCCACCCATCTTAAACGTACATGTATTTCTAAATCCAACTTGGAGACAGTTGGTATTCTATGGCAAGAAACAGTTAATGACAGGCATTAAAAAAATACTGAATTCAATGAAAATCTTTCTTAAATGGGAAAGTGGAAGTAAATTTCATAGAGGGTAAAGTTCTGGCCAAATATAAACTGAATATTAAGAAGAGATTTTAAAAATGAGCCCATATTGGGGCGCCTGGGTGGCGCAGTTGGTTAAGCGTCTGACTTCAGCCAGGTCACGATCTCGTGGTCCGTGAGTTCGAGCCCCGCGTCAGGCTCTGGGCTGATGGCTCGGAGCCTGGAGCCTGTTTCCGATTCTGTGTCTCCCTCTCTCTCTGCCCCTCCCCCGTTCATGCTCTGTCTCTCTCTGTCCCAAAACTAAATAAAAACGTTGAAAAAAAAATTTAAAAAAATGAGCCCATATTGACATTTTATAGAGAATAGTATTTGTCAGGTATATTTTTGATCAGTGTCAATGGGCCTATTTCTGGTGCCATTTTGCTTCATGAGGAATGACTTATCTGGTTGTAATTCATTTTCAAGAACATGAACACATGGAATTAACTGTAGGGATGACCATCCTTAAACCTTAAGACTGATGAAATGAAACACATTCAACTAAAAAGCAAATTAGCCAAATAAAACCTTTTCACTGAACTAATGCAATGAAAAGGAGACTTCAAGCCTCCTGAAAACTATCAGTTTGTATTATAAACCCCAAAATAAATGAGTAAAATAACCTGTTAGGGATGAAATGAAGCCACATCTCTGGCTCTGATTATTCATAGATCCATCTCTTCCCTTGTCCCAGTTTTGGTATGTTACTGGCGTTCCATCTCTCCAGCTGTAGGAAAATGGAAAAATTTAGGGTCTTCTCTTTTTCTGTATGTCCAGTCTCCAAACACCATTCTTGAAGTTCTGGGGTATGGACTAAAGGCATAATGTTTTACTAAATTAAAAAAATACTCATGTCTTTGGTTAGAAAAATGAAAATTTATGAGTTAAAGATAATGTTTGAAGGCTATTCAACAAATTGATTACTAAGATCTAGTCCAATCATTCTGCAAATAAAACCTGTCAAACAAAATAAAATGCAAATTGATCTAGGTCCATACCGAAATTCATCATTGGCTCTTTCTTCTTGAAGTCCAATCCACCAATTTATACCATACTTTGATAGCTATTAAAAAAAAAAAGAAAGAAAATGTCAGCGTTTATTCTACTTGTTTTCCCTTTTCACTATTAAGATTAATGGGGTTGCTGTTAATAGCTTTCTATTCTTTAGTATTTTACCCAATTATCTAAAGAAGAGTACACTAGGCCTAGCATCTTCAGAGAACCTGAAAATTCGTTATCTTAAAATATTCTCTCCTCATTATGAAGGGAAATTGGAATCAAATATTGAAAATCTTTCTTACAACTTTCCCTATGTATTTAAAAGTACATTTTCTAACTTTAATAAGAGGGCTTTAAAAAGTAATATTGTAAAGTAAAATAGGACTCCTTTTTTTCCCTAAAAATTTAGTGTTTTATCATCTCAGCAGTTTATAGAAGTTTACTGCCTGTGCCATGCTGTTTAAAAACAATCAAGGCACAAAGACATCAATAGTAAAAAAGATTTTGAATTTTTGGCATTAGTCTGATTGTTAAGCTTTTAAACTGAGTCATAGCATGCTCCCCATTTAAATAGACACAATATAGGACAAAGGAATCTGACAGAACTTCCAGTGTTTCACAATCAGAAAATTATTTCTATATTTTAATGATATTGTACCATTATTTATCAGACAGATCCCAGTACACTAAAGTCTAAAATGAAACCCCATGTTCACACATGTGTGCATGGACATGTACATACATTATGGCAAATATAATACCGGACTGATGACCCTGGAAATTGAAATTCCCTCTTTAACTATAAAAGAGGAAGAGGCAGTAAGAATTTCTCTAAGACTTCTAAATCAATATACTGTATTGTGTGTGTGTGCTCAGTGTGTGTGTGTGTGTGTGTGTGTGTGTGTGTGTGTGTGTGTGAAATGTAACTTAATTTTTAAGCTAAAAGCCTGTTAATTTGAAGGCATTGCATATTTAAATTTGCACTTCATTTCTTCTGTAAAAATTGGAGAATACACCTTAAGATATATTTTTTTTCCCACAGAATTTTGGGTCATCATACAACAGAACCTAACAGCTCTCTAACATTCTAATTTATAAACAGGTATTTTTACTCCTTGAATAGTGTGGCTGTCTGCTATATCAGCAATTTGAGAGTAATGTAAGATGGAGCAACTATAATTTGGGGTCCCTGAGGTGTTGTTTCATGGACATGTTCTTACATGCTGAATTTAGATTCCTTTTGTCAAGCTTTGGAATGGGTCCATGGAGACTGGCTGTGAACTCAGTGGGAGAACCACAACAATTTCATTCAATCTAAAGAGGTCTCACATGCAACAATAGTGGAAATCACAGGCTGATTGTTCACTGCCCCAATTAGGGACCTCTAAAGAGAAATTATACCTACTGCATCTTAAGTGACATATTTATTACCACTTCAATTACAGCATGGTAATCCTCTATATGGCACACCACAACCTGTTGGGATACGGAATAGAGCTGCAAGCAAGAAGGACAAGCTAGAAGCTAGGGTGAAAAATGCATGGTGAAAAATAGATGTTTTAAATTTTAGCTTAGGTATAAATTCACAACAATAGAAGACTTATTAACATTCTTTCCTATAAAGAAATGTGATATGACCACAGATTTCGTAACATCAACTATGTTTTGTGACAGCCATTATAGATAGCATCATATGGGAAGAATACTTATAAAAAAATACAGCACCAGCTAATATAATCTACAAAGTAATTAATCTACAATATAATACAAGGAAGAATAGCCTGTCATCTCTTCAAATGTTTCCATCAAAAACACCAAAACCAAGTTATTTTAAGGTTTTTAAAACATCATATTTTGGTGGATGACTAATAGACTTGATATATTTTTGTTAGAAGTATTTAGACATGAACTTATAAAAATAAGAGTAAATTTCAATTTTGACATGCAAATATTGCACAACACAGCATAAAATGTTAGCTGAGTGGACTATTTGGCTAGTAGTTCATGTTAAACAATTCCCACAGTGCTATGGCTTTTTTTTTTGGCATTAATCTAACCCAACAAGATGGTTCAAAAAAGAAGTACTCAAAAATTCACTCTCATCATGCCTGTGGTATTCCGTTATTCAAAGAGAAAATACTGACTAACCACATTTCCAAGATAGAAACACTGTAAAAAAAAAAATTCTTCAGATTTTAAAAACTGTATCCAGCTTTCTTTTTCAATAGTTCTTTTACTTTCCAATTGTTATTTTTGTTCTTCACATTTCTAAGTTACTACTCTTTTAGGGAAACTATACAACACATATGGAATAATAAAAATATTTAATTAGTATTGTGATTCTTCCTGCACTAATAGGATGAGTGTGCCACAAAAGTGAGTGGTATGACCTCGACATGTTTAGTTCACCATCCTGGAATAAAGTAGCTTCTGAACTGACTCCTTCTAGTAGGACCTTTGTAGATATGGAGTTTCTCGCTCATGAACTGTAAATGGTCACCATAAATACCACTACTCTCACCACCACCAAAAAGTGCCTAACACAGCCACAATATTATGCAATAATAACTGTTTTGGAAGCCTATAGTTTTCTTCTTTTTAAATTGATACCCTTTCCCCTTACCTCTCTTGCCCCTTTTTCAATCTGCACATTTTATACCATCCAGTAGTTTTCTTTTGTGGTGTTAGATCAGTCAGTCGCTCACCCATGATACTGACAGGGCAATTTATAACAACATGGTCTCAGGCTGGGTAACAGTTTTGCCATATAAGATACCATAAGGTTTGTGTGGTTTGAGATCACACTAGATTTAGTCCTCAACTAGTATCATAGAGCTAGGTATGACTTCTCAAACAGCTAAACCGATGGGTTTTATTATTCCCTTCTATGGGAGGTATTAACTCTGCCATCCCCACTGGCTTCCCAAACACTAATAATTGGGAGGTTGAATTAAGGGAAAGGTGAAGATAGAAGACCTGCAGATGTTTCCAGGAGAGCTAAGCTCATTGGAAAGATCAAAGAAGTCTTTCATTGCTCATGTCTGGGACAGGGCTGGCACCATCTTTTGGAGACGGATTTTAGAACTAGCATTTTAATATAATGAAGACATTGTGCGCTTATATCCCTCCCATGGCGCTGCTCTGCTGCAAGCAGAGGGTTTTAAAATGACACCGTAAGTCAGATGGCCTGGGTTCACTTTCAGATTCCACCACTCAGCTGCTGTGCAAGTAACCAAGTTACTTCACCTCTTTGGAGTTTCAGCTTCCTCATCTGTAAAATGTACTAATAATAGACTTCCCATAGATAGTCCTTGGAAAGATTAAATGCCATTAAACATTAATACTTAGCACAGTGCCTGACACTGTTACAGTAAGTACTGGCCAAATATCAGTTCCCTTTGAGACATACACTTTGTCATGTCAGAGGATGGATTGATTTTCAGACATTGACCTGATGTCTTGTTATTGCCACCAGGAATCCGCTGTCTTGTTAAAGAAACAAACATATTTTATGACATCATGTTAATACTTAACATTATGGTTTTGGCTTGAGTGTTCCATTTGTGGGAGAGGAAAGGTGGTAAAAATAGTGCACAAAATAGTGGGGAACATCATGTTCTAGCGATTGGTCTATCACTGAGTCTGTGGGACTGTGAGGTTGTCATCGAATATCCCTGTTGTTCAGCTTTTTCCATCACAAATCAGTAGTGGTCTTGACCTACGTACACCTCACAGGCTCCTGTGCATCAAACAGGATTATAGAAATGGAAAAGCTCCATGAGCTGTAAGGGAAGACATTTCTCTTACAACCCAAGGATGCTTTAAATATAGAGCTTCATTTTAACAATCAACTTACAAACATATGAAAAGATGATAACTCAACAAAGGATTCCTGGTGATCATGAAATAATGTTAAATTATGGAAAAGAAAAAAAGTCTTTTCCTTACTTTCAAAGATTTCCTAAGGAAAACTGGGAGTGAGGTTTCTCCCCTTAATGTCCCCTTGGTAATTTCTACATATTGCTCCCTTTTCACTTATTATTACTTCCAGTTTTATTTATTTATTTATTTATTTATTTATTTATTTATTTATTTATTTTATTATTTTTTTTTTAACGTTTTATTTATTTTTGAGACAGGGAGAGACAGAGCATGAACAGGGGAGGGTGAGAGAGAGGGAGACACAGAATCTGAAACATGCTCCAGGCTCTGAGCTGTCAGCACAGAGCCCGACGCGGGGCTCGAACTCACAGACCGCGAGATCACGACCTGAGCCGAAGTCGGCCGCTTAACCGACTGAGCCACCCAGGCGCCCCAAGTTTTTTTTAAAAACAGAGTCTGTATCTCATTTTTGTGTTCTTGACATTATGTCTTTGACAAATATCACAATCCCCAACACTTACCTTAATAAATACTTAATAAGTAATACTTAAAAAATACTTAATAAACACTTACCTTAATAAATGCTTGGTGAAGAAACACAAGGAAAACATATACTATTCCTGGCAGTCTGTTTCATTATTTAACAGGTTTTGGATGCCTTTCCAATTAGCCTAGCTCCTCAAAGATTGTCTAAGTCTGTTTTACATTGAAATGGAAAACCACTCCCTATCGTTTTCTGAATATTGAGTCTTTAGAGTCTTATAAATATTGTACTCTTGTAAGTAAAATTCAGAACTTTAAATCAGCCATGTGCTCTCCCCACCCTCTCCCCAGTATACCATGTCTCTCATTTGTGCTTTATTTTCTCCCATTCCATTTATCTATTTGTCTTTTTCTAAACTATTTTCTAATGCTATGTGCTTATATTGATTATGGTCTTTCTTCTCAGACTAGATTATAAGCTTCACAAGGGCAGGAATTTTGGTCTGTTTTAATCACTGATAGAGCCCAAGTCCTTCAAAGAGTAGACTCCGAATAAATATGTCCAGAATGACTGAATGACCCTCACTAAAACAATAAAGCCCTACTTACTCATACTGATACTACTAAGAATCAAGAAAAGTGATATGATGACCAACATAGTAAGCCTGTGTTTCCATTATTTTCTCTTAATCCCTATACGAAAAAGAAAAACAATTCTTAAAAAACCTGTGGCTTTTAATGAAACTTAAATAAATGTCTGAAATAAAAAAAAATCCTCCCAAAGACTGAAGAAGGGGCTAAGCTCTGAATCTCTCATGGTTAATTATACTGAAATACCGCTCTTATTTTCCTGAGGATAAATTCTTGCTCATGTGCAGAATGAATTGTGAGAAGATCACCACGTAGCCAGCCACAGACAAACTCAAAGGAGGACCATTCTGCAGCATAGGTATGAAAAAGATACTCTGCATCCTGATAAAAGAGCCAGGGTGCATCTGAAAAACAACAAGACCAAAAAAACAAAAACCAATGCAAATCATGCAAAAACTATTGACTGATATAATGCAGACTTAATAGGATATGTTATGATCGACCCCAAATTTGTAATTCAGTTGCTTAGCATTAAAAACAATGTGTGCGTTTACATATACGTAAATATTTTTACATACACATAACTCAGCATATAATTTGCTTAATTTCCTTGGTATAGCTAAGAAAACTACATTTGTATTCCAAGGTCTGGGATAAATGCATATTTTAAAGTCACATGTCATGAAAAGAGTGTTAAGCTATAATACTAATCTTTAATCATATTTAATGACTTTTATTAATTTGATTATTAGTTACTTTGAGCAAATTAGTTCTGGATTGAAATAAGAAAAGAGAGGCTCGATTGGAGGACTGTAATAATACAGTAATTGTATATGATAGCAGGTAGTTAGAAATTGAAGAACCGCCAGGATAGCTCTTACCGTACTGGTACCAGGGTGGAATCTTGGGTCTCACATCTGCAAAGTGAAAACAAGCCACCTTGAGGGACATTTCTTAACAAGTGCGCCAACTCTGAAGTACTTCAGCTCTAAACACAACATCTTGGACTTTGCTCTTTAAAAGAGCATTTAAAAACCAGGTACTTTTGTGCTGTCTGAAATATGGTTAGTTCTCAAACCTGAAAAGGAGGCTCAAGAGAGGCCTCTGATTAAAGAAGAAAGGATGTGAGCACTTGTCAAGGGCCTACTGTGTGGCACACACTGTGGCGGGTGTTTTCTCTTACTCATTTGACAAGTGATTTGGTTTGCTTGTCATGTCACAGTGACATTTCTTCCAGACTGTACTTGAAAAATATCATATTCCACAATACAGTTGGTTATCTTTGTTTCCCATTAACTAAATTAGCGTACTGCCATGGTGTCACCTTTTCTCATTCCCCTACGATGCATCCTTTGCTCAACTCGTGCAATTTGGTTCATCACGAGGGTTGTTGGTACTGTAGACCAGGATGCTTACATTTTAGATTTCTGTAACTCTTCACTTGGAAAAGTGCCATGGATTATTAGAAAGCAAACACATAGTAAATATCTTATTACTATTTTTACCTCTTGGAATCTTGCATATCCATTCACGTTTGGAACCACAGTGCAAGGGCAGCAATGTTTTATTTGTTTTATAAATAGCACAATTTCTTGCATCTTCTCCAAAATAAGTATTGTCTAAAAATGAAGAGACAACCTGCAGCAGATCAAGTTCATTATTTCTTAATGATGATCCCCCACAAAAAGTTTCTCTGTAAATAAATCACAATAGGCTTCTGGAGGAAGCTTAAGAAATGTCTGGATAAAATTGCATTTAGGGGCGCCTGGATGGCTCAGTCGGTTAAGCGGCCAACTTCGGCTCAGGTCATGATCTTGTGGTCCGTGAGTTCGAGCCCCGCGTCGGCTCTGTGCTGACAGCTCAGAGCCTGGAGCCTGTTTCAGATTCTGTGTCTCCCTCTCTCTGACCCTTCCCCGTTCATGCTCTGTCTGTCTCTGTCTCAAAAATAAATAAACGTTAAAAAAAATTAAAAAAAAAAAGATTGCATTTAAAGATTGTCCCACATTTGCAAAGAACAAGCTAACCAAATTAGCATTTTTCCTTAAGGATGCTTTTTTCCTAAAAAGAAGCATGCTATTCCTTTCTCCAGAGAGAACAAATCAGGTGCATGCTCCCTTCTGAGGTTGTACTGTTGTCTCACTGGCTGCAATAGGCTTGTCCTGGGACCCTGGGTGAACTTCTGAAAGGCTCTGATCTGTCAGATTTGAGTCCCTTCTGTGATGTAGATTCTTTTGCATGTATGCTAAGCTTTTCGTCTTCAGTCACTAAATTTTAATTCATCACTGGCTTTAATTGGGAAACGATCCACACTTTTCATGAATGATCGTGTATAGGGATATGAAGTAAAGATTCATTCTTCTCAATGATTTAATGGCTACCTGACAGAAGAATGGATGGACAACAAGTAAAACTGGAGCAAAAATTTGGGAAAAAGAGGATGTTTGAAACGTAATACTCCCTTCAAACATGTACACAATCACACAATAACTCATCTAGCTTACATGTATGTAAGCTCAGATTCAGGCAATGGTGTGCATTTGAATATTTGTTTTGTCTAGTAGGGAGTGGTGGGGAGGAACTCAGTGCACTGCTTCATGGCTTTATCTCATTTATTCTGAACCAAATTGTTCCTCGCTATTACTAATAAGACTGCTTTACTAAAACAAAAGGAAGCATTCTCAACCTCTACACGACACATTTAATTTTTCAAGTGCCACATTGACATTAATCACCCAAGTGTGCCATATGGTGGCTGCCATTTATGTAGCAGGCGGACTCTGCTAAGTTCCTTCCACTCTCTGGGCCTCAGTTTCTTTGACAGCAAAATAGATGGGTGGGGCTGCGTGATTTCTAAGATCTCTTCCTACTCTCTGGTCCCGATATCCTTCTCAGAGAAGCAGCACTGAGGTGAAAATACGTTATATATATATATATGTATATATATATATATATATATATATATATATATATATATATATATATATATATATATATATATATATATATATATATATATATATATATGTTTAACTAGCATGGCCTTATTATTTTTGTTTCCCACATAGAGTTTTCCACAGATCCTTTCCTTGCCACAGATTTTCTCTAGTGGGGCTAGAGATCTTATTTCTCTATTGATCTTTACTACGTCAAAGTTTGGCCAACTGGGAGACATTATAACATCATAGCTTTGGAGGCAGACAACGTGTGTACAAATCCTGGCTCTCTGAAGCATTATTTTAGGCAAACTATTTAAGCATTCTAATAACCACTGCACTGAATCATCATAAGGGGAAATGAGATCATGCTGCGGCACATTCAACCCAGTGTTTGGAACATAATTCAGGTTCAGTAAATAGCAGCTGCATTAAATGCTCACTGCCGACTCTTGCTAGGAGCCCCATTTCACAGGTGAAACTGAATAACTTGATTTTGCATGGGCCTCAGATGAATCCCATTTCAATCTGGGATACTGCTTCCATTTTTTCCCTATCATCTTGAGGGAAATGTGAGACTTCCTCATTGCGCCTGAAAAAAAATGTAATAGGGAGGAGTTTCTTCTTTCTTTCCTTCACAGAGGATTTTACAAGCATGAGGCTGAATGAAAAGCAAAGTATTATTTTTTCTTTCTGAATAACTTGCTCTGGTTGAGGAGATGGTATTTCTAAGTGTGGCATTTCTGTCCTTTTAGAGATAAACTGAAATGGTTTTTTTCCATTGTAATCTGGACTTGGGTCCCACATTCATATAATTAGGTACTAAGCCAGAGAGGGAGGGTGGGGTAAAGAAAGCCTCATATTATTTTAAACAATGGTTGCTTCTTTCTTGAGACTTCACATGGGAGATAGTCTGGGGACATTTCAGAGATCTTTGATCCCTTTCCAGGATAAGATCCTACAGTTGGCCTCAGATCAATGTGGCTAGTAAAGGTTTCCCAGGACTTTGCAGAAATTACTCTAATGGTACTGAGATCTGGTGCAGTTTTCGATCTGGGTCTGAGTCACAGGAAATATAGTCATTATTTCCAGTTTCTGTTGGCTGGTTTACCAAGGTGTTCCAGGGCCACCTGTTTTGAATTCATTTCCTTTTCTTCAGTTTGGAAAAACTTACAGGAGTCCCATCAGACCACTCCCAGGAGCCAGCATTCAGTGGGTTTCTTTTATTAAATCCAATCCAGAACTGCCTTTCTTCTGTCCTGTGAATAGAAAAACAAAAACTTGGCTCTTCCTATTGAATTCATAACATTATGTAAAAGGTTCAAGAAATATTTTAAAGTAATTATGTGTGTAGGAAACAGCTGATACTACTGGCAGGATGGATCAAGTCAAACAAACATTTACTGAACATTTCCTTTATGCAAAACCTGAGCTATGAAATGAATGTAGAGAAGATTAACCTGGCTTCCCGTTTCTCTTGGCTTATTGCGCTCACTGGTGACGTGCGGTTGGGGGAAAAGTCAACCTATATTGAGAACATTGCTTTCTCATGTTCATTAGGAGTGGCAACACCTTTCAATCAAGATAAGAACACATGAAAGCAAGTTGGTAAGAAATTTTGGAGCATCTTTTCCCTAGAGGACTTTTTACTATTTCCTATGTATTTATTACTTTACTATGCTTTGATTTGTTGCTTTTTTTTTTTTTTTTTGGTCAAATGTTCACGTATTCTCTGAAGGTTAATTACCACCACCCCCTTTAATAGAAGGTACACAGTAGATTTTGTTTTTTTTGTTTTTTTCAGATCCCAGCATAAATAATTTCATAGCAAATCAGTCTGAGGCACAGTAGATTAACTTCAGCAGTCACCACTGGGTTAGATGTGGTGAGAAACCCCACAGAGAACCATCTTCCCTCCTATTAGGTGGAGGAAAAATACATCAAACCACAGAGTACTCAATAAATCAACCAATAAATTCTAACTGTACAATAACCCATCTCACTAAGACAATTTTCTGAGAATAATTTGGAGAATTAAAGATTTAAAAGATTCAGAAATCATGACAGATGCTTTATTTTCATTAGTACAGAGAAGAAAGACTATTCTGAAGCATCCACTTCTCAAATATGAGAGCTACTGTGCCTGAACAATACAAATGAAAGTAAAATGTGACTTAGAAATCCGAGAGGTCACTGGGGCCTGGCTGGCAACTGCCATGATTACAGTTTACAATTTACAATTTATAAGGTTATGGAGGCAGAGGATGCTGCCTTGAGGTTAAGCCAGGTACCTTAACATCAATGGTCTAGGCTGGGAATTCATATCACTCTCCTGCCTTGAGAACTTTTTGTTCCTTTACTCACAGAGTTCAACGTTTTTCCTGATATGTCCTGGCTCTTAGGTAATGAACTGGCATTAATTTTCTCTTCATCCATTTCCTAAAATTGTATGATTTTTAATAATATAATAAATAATAAAATAGAAATAGAAAATCAGTGCCATAAGGAGGAGAATATATGCTAACTATGAGATTTGGTTTATTTGCTCTAAGCAAACATGAAATTTTGTTGAACTCCCTGGCAGTCTGGGCACAAAGTAATATTATATAGCTTTTATGATTAAGTGCTAAAGATTAATAATTTGATAGATGCTTAATATTAAAGTAATTTCAAGTGTGAGAACTTATAGAAATAGAAATGACATAATGATATTTGATCTCACAGCAAATTTGGAAGCAGTTTGCACGTTTGTTTCACATAGCAAACCTCACTATACTCAAGTATGAAAGGATGTTTTGCAAGGGGCTAAAGTCATGAAGCAAAGTTACAACTTAGAAGGATGGAGATAATCCCATATCCCTTGGATCTGTGGCCTCATACCAGACTAACAATCCAATTAAATCCAATTAATCAGGAAGCTTCTTGAACTTTTCTTCAGTCTGAGAGAATCTGACTCAGCAGCTCTGGTGTGAGACCAGAGGGCTCTGTATTATAAGGTGTCCCAAGTGAGTGTGATAATCAGCCAGATTTGGGAAGCATGATTTTTAGGTCAGCATTTCCCATAGACACTAGCAGTTCCATGGAATGTTGATAAGTATTCTCAAAAAAAAAAAAAAAAAAAAAAAAAAAAGAGGGAGATTCGTGGTCAAAGAAAGTGCTTCCTTCTAGAAGCCTTTACAATGCTAAGGCATATGGCAAATTTCCAAGTTTGTGCCTTGTTTTGCAAACATATTTGACTTTTCCCCCCCCAACAGTGCTCTGTGAAACTCACATTGGGAGATGTTGTCAACGACTCCTACCATTAAGGTCATTACTGTTGATGTTGGAGATGAATAATTTGATAGATATTACATATTAATCGTTTTGTGGAATATCCTAAAGGAAACTTATGGGAAGACCAGGATTTTCCTCAAAAAGTTGTTCTGGATTTTTCTCTGTGATTCAAGCAAGTGTTTCATTGAGACTCCAGATTTCCAGAGCTTAGAGCATAGTACTTGGTGTTACATTTGTTTTTACTAAATAAATGTGTGGAGCCATGGAGTCAGGCCCCCTTAGACTACAACATTCTCAGGGGTGAGATTTTGTCCATCCTATCTATTGCATGCTCCAGCCAACTATGCATATAAAAGTACCCCTTCCATAGAAGATATTCCAAACATGTATGCTAGTTGACAAGAACATTTTACAGAAAGAGGCCAATGGATAAGAAGGCTCACTAAAAGAGAACATAATGGCTGTCCTCAAATAACCAAAAATAGAGTAGACTTGATCTGTATTGCTCTGGCTTACTAGAAAGTTGATCTTTGAAATCACCGTCCAGTAATGGAACGGGCATTCTCCCAAATAAGAAGCACTCTGAAAGGAATTGTGCAGACAGAAGATGACCACAGGAATACCGCAGAGTGAATTTTTGTATTGGGTAGAAAATAGTACAAGCCTTTTACGTTTCTTCAAGTTTAAACTAAATTGATTTTCTAACTCCATGCAGTTCAAGATTCTGTAAACTTGCGAGGTAGATGCCAACAAGTGAATGCCTGGTTCCTCAAATGTAAAATTGGGAATCAATCAATAGGGCTTTCTTTTTTTTCCAAGCAAAATCGTACATGGACTCTATTATAACAAAATAAATAGAAGAGGAGCTGGTGGGAGCTGCTCTCGTAGGTCAGTGAGCACAGAAGCGGGACTTCTGTCCCTTGTTCCCTTCCTAGTCCTGAGTTCCAGGACTCTTGGGATTCCCAGGCAACAGTTTGAAAATCACGGGGCTAGATAATTACTGAGTTTGGCAGAGAAGCTCTAAAATTCTGATTTGAAGTACACAGAAAAAATTTCAAATATCAAAACAATCATCACTTTGTTCTTTGTTTTATGTAATGAGAACTGGGTGCAATATAAATATAAAACTGTATATGTACGTATTTTTCTTTCACAACTAATGGCTAGTTGCTTTTAGGCTTAAATACTTGAGATTTTAAACAAATATTTGGGATACTCTTCCCTGAGAACTTATAACTGGGAGACAGAATATTTGATTGCATTTTTCAAAATGAACAAGTATTTACCTATTGAATTTTGAATGCAAAAGCTCATTCACAAAATTCTCTTCCTCAATATGGGCAAAGCTTGCAAGATGAGCTCCAAATTCTTCACAAAATGCTTCTGCTTCTCTCCATGTTCTTTTCATCAGGACTTTTTCACTATGAAATACCTGGTTTAATAAGAAGCAAAGAAAAGTTGACACTATCATGGATAAGGTGAGGTTGTTTAATTCTCGACAAGAAAATAACAGTAATATAATTGTCATTAATCTATATTAAAAGCTTGACCCAGTAGGGGAAAATAACATTTATTGAACTAGAATGTGTCTACTCATCGTAAAACTGTTATCTCATTTTATTCTCACAACAAATTCATGAGAATGATAGAAGGAATCAGCTGTTTTATAAAGGAACTCCTTGAGTTCCTTTTTTTTTTTCTTCTAAATTTCCTGTAACTGGCATATACTTGTCCCTTAATAAATGTTTGTCAAGAGACAATGAGAGTCAGACTAAGAGAGATTACAAATTTCCAGTCACAGAGCTACAAATAGGCAGGACTAGGATTACATCCAGCACTCCTTCCTGCAGGAGCCCATGAATTTCCATCCCACCAGATTGCCTTCTGACAAATTAGAATTGGCTGAAGGATCATGAATCTGGCTGACCCACAGCAAGAAATGAGAAATGAGACCTGGGACCTAGGGCAGGTATATTACTAAGTTCTTTGGGTTTTAGCTGTGCCTAAATTCTCTGCTGTTTCTCAGCTGTCCTTGCAATAGCAGGAAGAAGTCAGTCAAATGGAGAGTCTGGTCCTGCCTTTATTTAAGATCAAGGGTAAGGGCCCAAAAACACAGAACTCCAAATCCTGGGCCTCTGTGCCCTCCTTGTTTTTAATTGCCTGACACTGCTCCCGAGTTTCTGATGCCAGGCAGGCACCCTGCGGCCAGGCTTCGCCAAGCTCTGATTTGCTGAGACCAGAATGAATGCTTTTCCCAGTCCTCTGGGCCACAGCACAGCCTTTCCATCTTTTAAATTATATGTCAAAACTCAGCTCCTCTGGGAACCTTTTCTTGAATCACTTAAAATTCATCAATCCTACCACCATGCCCATCAAACACACCTTTACATTTGTTGTCACGTCAGGGCAATATATGGTAGAAAAAGCACTGAACTGGGATTCCCAAGACCAGGAATTTATTCCAATTCTGTCAACAAATAATTGGGATCTTGGGCAAATCACTTCATCCTGCTGCCTCAGTTTGCTCATTTGTAAAGTTTAACTTACTGCTTTGTGAGGTCACTGTTACCCAATGAATTCAGTGTAGGATTGTGCATGCGTACATTAAATTGAGTGCATTCACAGATATTTCATGATAAGAGGATTGTTAGGTAGTGATTTATATCTAGGATCTAAAGCTGATTTGCAAAAAGACATTTCTTCACACACTTTTTTCATACACACAGGTACACACACATATCAAGTATATGTATTAATTTGTTTGATCCTCAGATGTCTGGCAAGCTGCAAAAGCTATTCTTAGCAGCAAAATGATAGTATTCCATAATAAATACTTTATTCTTTTTCTTACAAACGATATGGAATTGTATCATTTCAATACCCAGTGAGGAGTACATTGCAACAAAAATAACATTGACTGGGGCCTGGATAACAATCTTCGTGAAGAGGCCTTCAGTATCACCAGGGATATGTCAGTCTTTCAACTTAAAATTTTGGAATATAATTGAAAAGATAGAGGCAGCCAACAAATATTAAGTACCTGCTGTGTGCCAGGCACTGCTCTGGAATAAAGGAATTGGAGATACATGGACAAAACTGAAATAATGTTTGTTCCATTCAGAATGTCTAGATACCCTTGGCATCACCTTGAAGCAGCTCGCCAAGCCAGGCTCTGATTCCCAGTCCAAGTAGCAGGGGTGAAAGGGCCATCTCTCTTCCTGCTCCGTTTTCTCCTGATTTCCCACTGGTTGCTTACACAGGGACATTGCCTTAAATTGTCTGCAGTCCTTCACTTCCCAGCGACCAGGTGGATTCCTTCCTCGCATGACAACACAGCCACCACTGTAGCCTAAAAGCAGAAAACAACACTTAAAAAAATGTTTATTTATTTTGAGAGACAGAGAGAGAGAATGAACGTGAGTTGGGGAGGGATAGAGAGAGAGATCCCAAGCAGGTTCCACGCTGTCAGCGCAGAGCCCAATGTGGGGCTCAGTCTCATCAACTGTGAGATCATGACCTGAGCCAAAATCAAGAGTCAGACATTTAACAGACTGAGTCACCCAGGCACCCTGAAAACAGCACTTTTTAATACCAGAATGACTAGAACATTTTGTTCTTGGAATACTGGTCTTTGGAGTGTTGCATAACTGACATCTCATAATGAAGAGACCACATAAGAACAATAAAGATGAGAAAGAATGCTTTACTAACAGGACTATCTTCTCTTCATCTTTGGAGGAAAGAATAGAAGATGAAAAAGTGAGGGTAGAGAGCCTGTGAAGACTGAAATTTGGACATTTTGAGCTCAGATGATAAATGATAGAAAACTAGGCACTGTTTAACCTGGGACTGAAATATCCCCCATAGCCAATCAAATCCCCAATATTTCAATCAAATGCCAACATTCCTCTATTTCCAATTATTGCACTTTTTTTTTAACTGAGCAGAGAAAAATTTAGCCCACCATTTACTGAGCACTTACTCTGTACATCATGCTCTCATACCCCATTGTGAAAAATCAACAATGAAAAATGCATAGTGCTTACCCTCTGAGAAATAGATTTGACCAGGAAAATACATAAATGATGGATTCAAGGCAGACTGCAAGATGCACCACAGAAAACCAAACTGCCAACCATGGGAGAGTGGAGAGAATGAGCTAAATTACGTATGGAGTAAAACTGGGGGCAGGAATAAAGGCAGACATTAAGGAAAAGGGGAAGACCATCTAGTTCTGGATGAAGCTCTATTCTTTTGTGTATGTTTGAACATTTTGGAAAATTAACCATGTTTTTCCATAGAAACAATTTCTTTGTTGAGTTAAGGTGCCAAGTTTGTTGTTAACTCTATACAACTCATAGGATAGCTAAAAAAAAAAATACCCCTCAATTTTTGGTGAATAATAGAAAACAATCCCATTTGAAAAATAGAATAAAAATTGAGTAAGAATGAACCTTTTTTCTTGAAGCCAAAGTGATCATTCATCTATCTAAATCAAATTCAACCACAACAAAATTGTGCATCTATGTCTACATACCAGGCTAGTCTGTATATTAGCTACTAGACAAAGGAGGACAAAACAAAATAAAGCAAACAACCCCCAGCCCTTATTTTAGTGTGAGGCATAGACACATTAATTCGTTGAACATAATGTGTGAAGTACTATAGTAAGATTTCTGTGGAAGATTTCAGAAGGGGTGATGGAGTATGCCTCGGGATATCAGTAAAGGATTTGCAGCAACTGACATTTTAGCTGTGTTTTGAGGGCTGAAAAGGAGAAAAAGAGTTTTCAAGGGATGCTTGTGAAAAAAAAGCAAGCAATTAGAGATGGAGCATTTGAGGACTCTGATGACTCTGGACCTAAAGGCACTTTTTAAAATGTAGTTACTTGGGACTATATATGTGTTTTACTTAATTTCCATCACAAAGAATGGCTTCAATTTTTTTTTAAACACATGGTAACTGGACTTATCCTTGTCAGCCATGGGTGGTTATTTTACACTCACAGCAAGACTAAAGAGAGGGTTGAAGAAGAGGGGAAGAGAGAAGAAAGAAGACAGAGGAGAACATACAAGGATCCTCTCCTAAAGGAATGGAAGAATTTGTGGAAAAGGAGAAAGAATAAGGGGGCTACAGAACCAGTGTTTGTGTCTTCAGCAATCCTGAGTGTACACACTGTGTTAGACACCAGGCATCATGGCCATCCACAAGAAGCCTACAGTCGTGTGTGTGTGTGTGTGTGTGTGTGTGTGTGTGTGTGTGTGTGTGTGTGTGTGCGCGCGCGCTGATATGTCAGAGAGACCCACAAAGGTGAAAATGTCCAGTAGTAAACAAGAAAACATGACTAGTATGACCTGTATAGAAGCAAAGAAAGTCAAAAGAGAGTTGGTCTATACAAAAGCCGTTAGTCGACTCCATTGGCCAGAACACCTAGGTAGTGTTAAAGATGAATGAAAAATGATTGGGGGCCACACAAGGAGAAAAGATTATAGCATGCAACTGCAATCTGTCATGAATGGAGCTTTGCAGTCCTGTTCAATGTAACTTTGGAATGCATCTCACAATCTAGCTGGGTCCTGAACAAAAGAGGGGATGTTGCATACTCCCCTGTGATGAGATTGTAATGAAATTGAGCTATGGAAATCCACATGAAAGCCTCAAACATAATATGCTAATGGAGTTGCTCTAGTTGAGAGAGCTGGGTACATGCATTCCCTCTCAATTCCATCATCCTTCCCTAGCATCCTTGACTTGGAACCTGTCCAAAGTATGGGCTTCTAGTCTCAGCACAAATATTTAGTAACTCAAAATTCAAACAGGTTAATTAATCACACACACAAAAAAACCCTTGTCTGAAATGTGGGGATAAGAATTCCTTTTTTTCCTCAGTGGTTTTCATGAAGATCAAATGGAATAATGTATTTAAAAGCACCCTGAAAGATAGGAAGGGCTAAAACCAGCCCTAAGATGTTGCTTCTATTCTTTTTTGACTGTTTATTACAAAAGCTGGGATTTTGTGGCATGAGTTCTGCCTGCACGTTCAAGGAATTTTTAAAAAGCTCGATTCAGCAAATTTAAAATGTAATATACTTTTTTTGTTGTTGGTCTTGCATTTTGTCTTACTTTTTCACATCAGACAATGATTAAATAGCTTTGGTTTTAGATACTATAGATACCCAACTCATCTTCATTAGTAGAGAAGGAGATGTTTGTGAACTACTATGAAGGTGAAAGTGCTGTGGGAATGTTACTGGGATTCTAAAGTGGTTAACTTAATGGAACATTTGACCCGAATTTTGGAGTCTCAGCCCCAAAGAAGCAGTAAAGCAGTGTAATAAAGGGAGACTGGGATAAGGGAGATATAAACCGAATTTATAATCCTATATTGTAGGCATGCTTACAAAAGCCAAATAATAAAGGTAGGGTATGGGTGGGAGTGGAGGGGGTTTTTCTCCCAGAGATATTGTTCTCAAATTCAATAATTCATCTCCCATTGGAGAAAAGTTATCATTCTGTTTCTCAGTGGTGAATCTCACATTTAAACTGATTCTCCTTATCTGCCTTACCCTCCGTCTATCCCCCTTCACTCTGTCCATGGAACATGAATGAGTGGCTTAGGCGGTTAAGCATCTGACTCTGGCTCAGGTCACATCTCACGGTTTTGTGAGTTAGAGCCCTGCATTGGGCTCTCTGCTGTCAGCACAGAGCCTGCTTCAAATCCTCTGTCCCTCATCTCTCTGCCCCTCCCCTGCTCGCACACTTACTCTCTCTCTCTCTCTCTCTCTCTCTCTCTCTCTCAAAAATAAATAAACATTAAAAAAAAACACGAATAGGATAACTTTGGGTCAATTAAGAAATTCCAACTCACTGCTCTAGCCCCTTCCATTTGACAAAGCTATCTAACCATATAAATTGAACTGAGGTGAGAAAGCCTCCATTTTTCACCTCTCTGGTCAAATATCTGAAAGCAGACAAACAAAATCTATTTGTGGCCTCAGGGTAGGGGGTAACTGTAGCTGGGCCTTCAGAGCCTCTGGACAATTATTTTTCTTTAGTCTGTTTAGTTATTTTCCCATTCCTTGCAATAACCCTTTCCAATCATTTTTTTTTTTTACTATGACCAAGTGAGATTTATTCCAGGTGTGCAAACATAATTCCACATTTGAAAACCGATTAATGTAATCCACCATATCAATAGACTAAAAGAAAAAAAATCATATGATCATATGATCTACCCACCTTTCTTCTCTGTCCTTTTCTCCATCTTCATGCAGAAAAGTGATGCAATGGGGGTAGCTTCCGTGTAATGCTGTTAGGTATTTTATATGGTCTTTATTTAACTTCAAAAACTCTGAGATGGATATCATATCAGTATTTACAGTTTGCTAATGGAAAAATTGGGGCACAGAGGTTTGGTAACTTGCCTAAGGCCACACAGTGAGGGGTTTGATGCAGAATTTGAAAACAGATTTAACTAAGTCTACTATGAGACAATGCCAAGGTACAGAATAGGCAGGCATTCAATACATAGCTGTTGAATCAATGATTGAATCTTCCCCTCAATTATGTTCCTCCTTTTCTATAGTCATGTTTCTTTTCTGTGTGTGATCACAGCATTTCCGTAAAGATCTCTGATCCCACTTTTACCTTGTATGACAGTTACTTACATCATTACAAAAAAAAATATGAAAATACCCAAAGAGTGCCCAGAAATGAGAATATGTTTGTCCTCATTTCAGAACTCGGGGAAGCGTTAAAATGGATCAGCCTATCTACCTGCTGGACAGACTTTTCTTTGCTATGTGGAGGGCACTTTCAAGAAAAAGAGATCTGATTTACTCTACTGGCATCCCATTTTCTCTGTCACTGGCAGAAGATTTCTATTGACTTGGGACAACTGGGGTAAATGTTCTGGAGTTATCCCATTTAGTGTCCCTAAATAAGAAAGTCCCCATTTTTTCCCTTTAATTACTGGTACTAGTTAGTATGTATCAAAACTGGTTTTCCTGTTTTACCTGAATAGTTACTTCTCTTAAAATACCAAGTGATGGGGCGCCTGGGTGGCGCAGTCGGTTAAGCGTCCGACTTCAGCCAGGTCACGATCTCGCGGTCCGTGAGTTCGAGCCCCGCGTCGGGCTCTGGGCTGATGGCTCAGAGCCTGGAGCCTGTTTCCGATTCTGTGTCTCCCTCTCTCTCTGCCCCTCCCCCGTTCATGCTCTGTCTCTCTCTGTCCCAAAAATAAATAAACGTTGAAAAAAAAAAATACCAAGTGCCACAGTCTCTTTGCTGTTGTTGTTTTAGTAAAATAGCAGGAAACTATCTCTTTATAAAGATATCCCAGATACGAAG